GTAATATCATGAGTGCATCTCATTTTTCTGAAAAAACGAGTGCTAGTGGCAACAAAAAACCAGTTGAAGACGAGAATTTTTTCAACTGCACGAATGTTTTTTGTTAAAAAAGCATTACTTTCCATTGTTTTTTCGATTTTTTTCATAGGAAAAGATTAGATGCCCGAATGGTATTTGAGAAACTATTTCATGAGTAACAGATGATTCTACATACACATAACTTACAAAACATACTACAATGGTTTAGCGTCATTTTCTGGTGTCCTAGGGAAAAAATAAAAATGCTTATAATTTAGTTTGTGATACAATTTGCATTCATAAATAAAATTTCTCCGATTACAAAACGGTTCTTACTTAAAAAATAGCCCTCGTATAAACCGTAACTTCAGTGCTACTTTTTTTTAGGTTAATAACTGGCGATTTTCGATTGTGCAAATGAACCCAGAATTATGGAACGACTTGATTTTTCTTCACCTGATACAATTGATCTTAGCAGTGACGGTTGAGGTTTTCTAGGGGTTTTCCTCGCCCGAGTGCGAATGCAGTCACTAAGAAACCACGATCCCCTAATAAATAGTAGAAAAAAAGAAAATTGTACTTATCCTGTTAATGATCATGTAATTTTAAATCAAATAGTCATTAAATATATTTATATAATACCCTTGTTTTTTTCCACTTGATGAGAGTTCCGTATGCATGGGCAAAAAAGTATTTTATCCTATACAAAACCATATATAAAACTGGGAATTTATAAAAGTGTTTAGAGTTATAACGTTCTGTCGCATACTATAGAAGCCGGGTCTGCTCGGTATGGGAATTGATAGAACAGGTTCACAAAAAATTCATTTAGCGATAGAATTGAACTTGCAGAAGATTTCGATACTTGCCATTACTCACCGAATAAAAACACTTCGAACTTATAAAACTGACTGGTATTTGCAAGTAAATTGATCACAACGCTGTGGCAACACTGTTAATGAACTAAGGCTACCCGCGATCCATGAGTGTGGATACCATTCGCGTATTCTTCGCGGCTTCACGTCGCGTTCGCGCGTTGTTCCCGTTTGTTGTCGGTTTTTTGTCCCGCGACAAAGGGTTCGCAAGGCGCGAACATGACTAGGCTCCACATTCGCTGGTGGTTCAGTTGCCTCATAGCGAGTGTCGGGAGTGGTTGTGTTTTTTCCACTTATTTTCAATTGCTCTAGTTTTACTTATATATGCGTAATTATAAAATGCCAAAGCGCAAAGTAGCACTGCAGCAGCAGTAGCAATTTCACCATCCATACTCGTCAAGACCGCGAACTATACTGTGAAGCAGGCGCGAACATCTGCGAGTGTGGAACTGTAGGAAGAAATTTCGGGATTCGCACCGCGATCCGAGCCGCGATTTCACGCCGTGATTCGCGCGTGAGTCTGGAGAGGGTAATGAGATTTTTTCGCGAGATCCCTTAGTGAATCGAAGCGGGAACAGATGGGATTTCCCCTTCCTCTCGATGTTTTTACAGTTTCAGGTTACACCGGGAGTGGTTAGATGTTGCGCAAATTGTTTGCTTTAAGCTCCTTGATAAACTTAGCTGCCTTGTTTGAATCTGAAATAAAAAGACCGATCGTTTTTTGTGCAATCTACATATACTCGTATATCAATAAAATCAATCATTTGATATGACAAGTGCGGTTCATATACCTGTATCTTCGATTACCTTCTCCCTCGTCATTTAAAATCAGGTGGACGTGTTCCTCCATTTATGATTTGATAATTTAACTCAATTTTCGGCACTGCGAAGACAAATTTTCAATTGAGATGCCTGTTTTTTAAATGAAATTGATATAAGACCTGTCACCCGCTAGTACCTCACAGACGTTAGGCGGGTACCCGCACCTCGTGATTTTTTGACATTCGGACGACGTCACATCCGTCTTCCCCTATTCCCGTTCTTCGCGAAAATTTGAGTATGGTTCCCGGTAGTGCACTGTGCTACACCGTGGACTCGCGAAAAAATCCTTCATGTGAGTCAGTATCCATATCAGGCGTCGCGTGGTGTCTAGGTTAACCTATCTTATAAACAAACCGCATTTGAAAAACTGAAACTGATATTTATAGAGCGATAACGTAATTATTATCGATTTGATATGAGCATCATCTTCCGCGAGCGTACTCAGCACGTCGCCGTCGCCATCGATGTTTCTTTCCATGACAGCTGCATATACAGGGTGTTCATTTGAAAACTTCCCACCACGGATTTATCGAAAAAAGATTTGTCAAGGGGGACAACTTTTTAAGCAAAAACTAACTACTTTACCTTCGCCTCCCCCCGCCCCCAGGGTCATTCTCTTGAAAATTTTGAATTATCAACGGTATCGAGTAATAGCTTGTTTGAAAGGTCTTTCGAAGCTCTTTATTTTGACGTTTGGTTTTTTAAAATCAATCAATTCGTTTTCGAGAAAATTAGAAAAATCTGTATTTATCTTAATTTGTTCAGATAGAAAACAAAAACTCACGAAAATATAACTTTTTATTTCAGTAAGAGTTCAAAATGTTGCCCGTTAGGGTTTGCCAAATCTACAATTCGTTTATAATTTAAAACGGTAACTACCAACAACCTGATTTTTTTCCGCATTCTTTTCATCAACACAGATATCCTGTATTTATTGTTATACCTGTTTAGTCATTGGTTGCTAAGGAAAAGAAATAATTCAATTCGCTGTCAGTTACCTTTGTGACAATCTTGGGATAGTGAAAATTAATTTATTGTTTCAGATTTTACTTCCAAAATGTGTTCTATAACTTAATATACGATCGTTTATGTATTATTTATGTTTAAGTCTTCTAAAATAGCCCTTACTGTCCGTTCATGGTTGTAGCACTCCTAGTTCACAAAAAACTGAAAACACTAAGAACGTACACTACTCAAAAAAATTAAGGAAGCAAGAAAAAAAATCAAATTTTTCAGCAACTTTTGACTGGTTGTTTTTCGATGAGAAATGGTCATAATTAGACTTTGAAAAAAGCATTAAGATTCTAGATTTCAGGTGTTTTAGCCGAAAAATATAAGGAGCAACGCAACAGCGAGAGGAAAAATTTTCGGGTTTCAAAAAATGGTTTCTCCGGACATATTGGTCGGAGTTTGAAAGGAATCAAACGAGCAACATTTTTGTATCAAAACATCCTGTAATCTGGTTGAAAATGGAAAAATTAGTATTCATCTTCTGTTGTCACTATTGGATATCTGTAACACCTTCAATTTTGAAAATAGCAATTAGAAAAATGTTGTGTATCCATGGAATATTCCAAAAAACAAAAATACTGACCAGGGGCGGATCTAGAAAATATTCAGCCGAAATTAATGGGATCCGACAATGAATGTGCATCATTTTCAAACTATAAGCAATTAATCCGGAGAAACCGTACAATGGATCGATCTGCCGTCGTTATTAGTTGTACATTAAGGTACAGAAAACATTAGCCTTGTCATTAGCAGATCTAAGAATGCGGTCGATTTTCCAAAACAAGGCAAAAAATAAGTTTTTCCGTTTAAAAATCAATGGAAACAAAAATATATTTTTTTCTCAAAGATTGCAACTAAATCTTATGGGAGTTTTATTCCTGTTTTCGTGAATACATTACATTCTCTGTGGGATCATATCGAGATTTTAAAAACAGGATATTGAGGCTGAATATACAAGCTATCTGATCAATATGATAGCCTGACAGAAAAAAATTGTTCATGCTCTTGTACTAAAAAGAAGGCAAACATGTTTCAAAAAATTTCACTTGCACTATCTGTTGAAATTGCGTGGAACTGTTGCCCCTAAAAAGTTTCGTCTAAAAAAACAAAACTAGAATCCTACATCTTGAAAATGCCTTTTTTAAAGTTTTCTCACCGAAATACAGCCTGTCAAAAATGACCGAAAATTTGAATGTTTTTCTTGCTCCATTAATTTGTTTCAGTTGTGTACTTTTTATTCAAGTTTTTCATTAAAAAGCATTTATTAGTTTATCTAAACTTTTAAAGTTTCTTTATTAGAATTACAATAAAAGTCTTTGTACCTATATAATGTGCGTTTTTTTGGTATTTATTGAAAAAGTAAAGGGGGACATGAAAATATAATTTATAGTCCGGGGAGCCTCAATAACAAAAAAAAAAGGTTGGGAAACCCTGCTCTACCGTCTATGGCTCTACAGAATACTGCTCCTCGTTTGATCGAGATCGAGCTGAAAATATTCATAGACAATCTCAATTTTTGACGTTGGTATTAATATACGTCTCCTACTCCAGTAATTTTACGCACATATTAGGCATATCTCACCATCCTTAAAACTTAGAAACAGTCGCATGTCGGTGCGTGCGACGTGGTCCACCGATGGACGAGCGTCGTACTTCACAGTCGGCAATCGCTTACGCACTGCTATGGGCTGTGAGCACTGTGCATTGTGAAGATTGGTATCGTCATTCACGCGGGATTGATCACCAATCATGTGCGCCTGAAGGAATTTCTCGCAGGGGGAGGACATTATCTGGGACACATTTTAGGAGAAGCAAAGAGGAATAGTGGTCTGGCATCTCTAATTTATGAATTTATAATGCTTTCCTAATATCCGTCACCAAAGACTAGCGTTTTCCTCTCTCAGAGATCGATATGAAGAAATGGGAACAGTGCATTATAAGAAAAAGGTAAATGTAACAACTGAAGAATGTCGATTAGTCAAGCTTTACTAACAACGCAAGAAAACCCGAATTTAAGCGTGAGGGTAGACACAAGGCTGACATCAGCTAGAGCTCTATCCAAAGAATGATCAGAAAATATAAATACCATGTGAATCAACGGTATAAACGCTGAGCTATTCACATACAATCCGATTTCGTTACCTCTAGGCGTATTACCAGCGATCATTTGGCCGACGGTTGGGGACAAATTTTGCCTCCAATCGAGACGCTGGTAATGCCCCTTAAGATCTTTGTAATATTTCAGGTCAATAGGTTAGGCAAAATAAATAATAGTCTTATCTATGTATAAGCTTTATTCCACTGTAAAAAAAGTATGATCATATAAAATACTTAACTCTGATCTGTGTAATCAAAAACACTAACGACAGTAAGTTCTTTAAGTAACTCTTCGGTTGTGGTGTCATTTTCACTAAAGAAGATTACTGTCTTGTTTTTCTCTACAAGCACGAAACCATTATCTGAAAATGTGCCTCGAATTTTGTGCGAGTCTAGTGTTACAAACAACGCAATGTTTTCTGATGTCACCTCAATGTTGAAGACTTTATCCGCTCCTTTCTTCACCGATGATATCTAAAAAGAGAATTTTTCGTCAATTTATGTCATAGTTGTAAAGTCAAATTTTCTGGAGTATGTATTGCAAACTGAACACTTAATAGCAATATTATATAATGTCCCAGAGCAGACTTAGGGATTCCAAAGAGAATGAACATAATATTAAATATTTTAGGAAAAAGCTTTTTATTGATAGGCAGATTTAATCTTGTATATGTCCTCCATATCGTGCAATCAATTTCTGCACCTTTTACATAACGTGGTGAGGCATAGCTAGTTCATTTTCCCCTATTTCGTGACGTATACTTTTTCCAACGGTGCTCTTGTGGTACCTCCATGTAAAGTTATCCACGGAGGTCAATTCAGTTATCGCGGTAGGTAAATAATATGACCAAAACGAGATATCAACATTTGTGGAAGCAGCTTGGCAAGTTAGTTCATAGGGACGCTTATAGCTTAGCTTAAACCACGTCGGTTATTTTTTTTACTCCGAAGTAGCCGCACAGGCAGAAGCCTAAATGCCAGGGCACCGTGACTGCTATGACCATCCCAAAGAAAACCTGTTAATCCGATTTTTGAACTACCTAAGGTTAGTAGAACTGGTAAAAGCCTCCTCATGAAAATTGTTTCGGGACTCTAGAAATAAAGAAGCGGTCGTATCGGCCAGTTCTAGATGTACGATGCTCGACTCGGTTAGGATGGGAGGCGGAAGTCAGGTGGGTGTGCCTAGCAGACACATCGCGTGGCGGCATCATGGAGGAAAATGTTGTTTAAGCTGGATTATATAATAATATACATAAATGCATCAGTTATCGTGACGATTCTCGCAGTTTCAAAGATTATTTGCTAGTGCTATTGTGTGGCCACCATGACCACCAGATTTGACATCCAATTATTGTTGCTGTTGATCATGCTATGTTCCTCGTCTGATGATTCATTTTCAATTAGAACATTTTACCTAAAACCCTGAATCTTCTCTGGGACATGATGTACAAAGTTGGTTGAGTTTATCTCACTGTAGCCCTATTTAACGTTAAACTTCTTCCAATGCGGAATTTTTGCATAATTGTCTTCAAAAAGCGCCATTTTAGCGAATCTGCATGTTACCACGCCTTTTGCATCAATAACTTTTTTGAACAATTTTTTTAACAATTCCAATTTTTTTTCGCTCCGGTCAAAGTATTTCTAGTTTTTTTTTGAACACTCTGAACATAAAAATACTTAAGAACTCTTTTTAAAGTTGATAGTTTTCGAGATATAAGCGATACAATATTTGAATATGTGCGAAATATGCCATTTTCGACCAAGGAAAAACATGAATAAACGAAAATTTCAACAATGCCAATGTTTCTGAATATTATTCAAACCTCCATTAACAAAATCACAATGTATTTCAGGAGGTACTGTTATTTTAGGCCGTTAATTTTTAATTGTCAATACCCCCCTACAAGTTGCATAATTACAAGACGGCCTGAAATGTTTCGGGATTTTGTTAATGGATATTTGAAGAATATTTAGGAACATTGGTGACATTAAAATTTTTCCTATTGGCTTTTCAACTATTGTATGGTGTATATCTCGGAAACTATTAACTTTAGCGAAAAGCTATAAATTGCCTTTTTTGATCAGAACGTCCCAAAAAACCTAATAAATACTACTACTGTACCGGAGCGAAACATTTTTATAAATTATTAAAAAAATTGTTCAAAAATAATGAGTGACTCAAATGTGGACCTAGCAACATGCAGATTCGCTAAGAGGGGCCGGGCCCTTTTTGAATAAGATTATACAAAAATTCCGAATCAGAATATTTTTCCTATCAGACGGGCATTACCTGGACTACCAGGCATTAATCACGCATTAACCTCCAACTGGCATGTCAAAGTGACGCATTACTCTTGTGCATTGCTCATCCATCACGCACTGTCGGTGACAGGCTTCGCATATGCGATTGCTTAATTGCGTTTACACGTTTAATGATGATGTGATCTGGGTTCAGCTACTTTCCTTTTGCTTAAAGTAAACGCAGTATGTGATCGCGTGAGTATTGAATAGCGCTATATTCGGATAAGCAAGGCCATTTTGCCAATTCAAAAACTATACCTTAAGTTTTGGATTCTGCAAACTACTCTTACGGATCTTGGTTGGAAATACGTAGTTGTTTGGAGCCATCTGCTTTCCAGATTGATCTATCATTGATAAATGAATGAAACAATTCCTGAAAGCATCTGCACCGGTACCGCAGTCCGACATTCTCATAAGAACATTGATTTTTATAGTATGGATTAACTTTGATGAGCCACCGTCCTAAAAGGAAAATAAATTATCACTCTATGACACTATTGGTTACATTCAGCTGAACTGAGTTGCCTGCCTAGTCTGTTAGATGTCATCTGAATGTACCGCTTTGAAGATTTTGTAAAGTTGTTGTTAGAGAAATCACGTATGTGAAGCAGGTTATGCCAAGGGCGCACACCTTTTTCCCTACTTCGGCAAAAATCAAATTATTCACATACAGCGTTCTCTACAAATGATGAGGAATTACTAGGATCAGTTGAAATCTATATCAGATACAAACTTAATTTTGCTAAAAGCACTATATAGGTATGTTACGCGTGTTTCAAATTCGAACCTCGCCTTTGAGATAAATATACATCGCGGAGTACTTTATTATGGGGGTAAGTTGCGTAGATAAATGAAAAGTATTTCCAAATTTAAGTGGTTTTTATTTTTTCCTGGCTTTAGTCCGAAACAAAACTTTTCAAACATCCACATTGTCTACAATTTTAAAACAAATTACACAATTACAATACCACTTTTTCTCTTCTACACGATGGCATAATTATTGTTCCCCATTCGATGAGTTTAACATACCATATGAAGTTAGGCACTTGAAATTTTATATCAATCCGTAACATGTTATCATATTGGATATTCTATGAAATAATATAATAAATTTCAAGGTACTCAAGAAAAAAAAATTATAAAAATTTGAAATCAGAATTAAAAGCATAAGCAAAAATGGAATACATAAGAAAAATGAAAATTGAGACGGGGGATAAGAGACGAAAAATCGTATTGTCATATTTATGCCACCTTGCAGAAATCAAAGTAGCAGTGTCAATGAGCAGTTTATTTTGAAATCTTACCTCAAATAAATTCAGAAAAAATTAGACACGATTTTGGGGAAATTCGCGCGCTTTTTCGTGTATCTCTGGAGATACTTACTGGAAGCGTCGACACTTTTCAACTGCATTTTATATATAAATACACAACTTTGCCACCATTCAACCGAGCCGTATCTCTTACCATTTTGGACATCACAATGGTCAATATATGACAAATTTATTTTTCAAATCATTGTAGATTAAACTAGGTACATATCCTTCTGAAGATTTTTTTCGGTGTTAACTACTACAAAGGCTTTAACTTTTGGCTATTTTCTCATATTTACTAAAAAATGAACGATTTTTTGCAAGTACCAATAAGCTGTTGAAATGAACTGGACATACCCATTTTGGTGGCTCGGTGTTCTAATCCATTTCCCAATGCTTCTATAGATTTGTAACTGATATTTGATAAAAAAGTCAATCAGAAGTTTTTATTCGAGATGAGGAGCTTTTCCATTCACTCGAAAGAATATATATCCTTCTGTACAATTTCTTTTACAACAGGGTTCACATTTAGCTTGTTTGAATTTTTCAAAAAAGTAATCCTAGTAGTTTTCCATATCCATATGATGTGAACGAAATGCAAATAGAAAGAAAAATATCTAGCAAAGTTATGTAGACCAAAAATTATTTTGAAGGTGCCCCAGCTGTTATTTTCTGTTGCTGTTTGGCGTAATGGATACTTGTGAAAGAGTCTTTCCCTCTCGGACCTTTGCCGTAGCCTATGCGATTTCCATTTCCGTCGTTGAAAAATTTTGAGGATATGAAAACAGGATAAGTTCGTGAGAGGTTAAAGAGTGGTCTTTTCTTGAAAGGTTGGTGTGTATTGTTTAAGAATAACCAATTTTCCTCAAAAGGAAAATTTAGTCTGTTTACTTATAAGGATTTACTGCAATCGCGAACGTCTAAATACAGCATAGGGTTGGGCATCCTCTTAGTCCAAATTAATCATGAAATATAGAAACTACTTCACAATAGCTCAAGGGATCAACTGTGTCATTTGTAGAAAGTTGGCAAGTTTAGTATTAAAATTTTTAGTTACTTTTTACAGTTGTTGAATATTAGTTTCTTACTAAACGAGTCATCCATGTATCTAGAATGTATGGCATAAAAATATTCAATAGATACATTCCCTACCTACGTAGTACATATTGCACTCTGGTATTTCCGTAAAATGTTCAACTGTTTACAAAACTAAGTTTTGCAGTTTAACTATAGATTTGAGCAAAATCCACTCACTATATCCATCATGATGTTACTCTTTGAAACCGGTGTGAAAGAGTTCCACCTGTATACACAGATTGAGGCTACGAATGTTGGCAATTCAGGTGTCAAGTCAGATACTACATATACTTTCAGCTGCTTATCAGTGTCAATGTAACCTGTAATAATCACAGGGGCCAGAAATTCTTTCACGTGATATTGTAGAAGCTTCCATCTTCCAGTATAATCTGAAAACAAAATCAACTGTCTATCAGTATTAGCTATATCAAAAGAAATTACGTAGGCGAATCAAATATAACGGAGCATCTAAACGAGCAATACATTTGTATGAATATTTGGATATAAGCATGACTATACAGTGGAATCCATAAACCACTGACGTTGTAATGTATACGAGAGAGAAGCGCGAAAATCATGCAATACGCATATTAGGAAGACATAGAAGCACCTCGTTGCCTAGCAACCCGAGTGACGAGGCCACGGACGCAGCTGCGGCTTGCCGCGTCGCTATCAGCGCACTCTTTACGACTCATTAGGACGTCAGCCAAATTTAAACCTCACCGCATACTATGCAGGGTGTTCCTTACTGATATGCGAATATTTAAGGGTGTGAATCTACATGAAAAATTAATGTTAGTTTGGTCCAAAAATGTTTCCCTTCAAAAACTCGGGGTGTTGAAGTCTTAGGAAAAAAATGGAAATTAATTTTTAGCTTTAACAGTGGCGTGCGTACGGTACGTGGTACGTAAAGAAATAAAAACCGTTCTATAGTAACCGAGAAAATTAATGTAATAATTGACGAATGTAATTTAGCAACAAATATCTAGTCACTGGCTTTTGACATCTGACAAGTCTCTGTTATTCAAATCTGTTCGCTGTGACATCTTTTTCATTATTTAGTTTTTATAATCTTGTTAATACTGGTGAATTATTCAAATGCAAAAATGGCGGAAATGCATTACGTATATGGCCTTGCCGACGGTAATGGTAAGCAAGCCAGACGGATTTATCACCAGAGATATCCCGATCGTGCTTTGCCAGATAGTCGAACTTTTTCTTATATTCATCGTCGTCTAGTTGAAACTGGTTCTGTCCGAAAAGGAATATCTGAAATTGAGGAAGCAGTGCTGCACAAAGTCGAAAAACATCCTTAAACGAGTACGAGGAAGATGGCTAGACACTTAAATATCTGTCAACAAATTGTTTGGAGAATTTTAGTGGATTTTTTTGTTAAATCCTTACCATATTTTAAGAGTAAAGGCATTACTTCCCATTGATTTTCCAAGGCGTGTGACCTTTTGTCAGTGGTATCTTCAAAAAATTACCCAAAATCAGCAATTTGAATCAATGATTCTGTTCACGGACGAAGTTAATTTTTTCGAAATACTATTCAGAATTTCCACAATAATCATTTCTGGGCAGAAGAAAATCCATATGCCGTAACCGAAACCCATTTAAAACACCAATTTTCGGTTAACGTATGGCCAGGAATTATTGGCAACCACTTTATTGGCCCATTCTTCTTGCCGGGACGACTTGACGGACAGACTTACCTCAATTTTCTTCAACAACAGTTGTCTTGTCTTGTCTGCTTGATGATGTTCCGTTAGTAATAAGTAGTAGTAGTACATGCATGATGCGCACCAGCGCATATCAGTGTAGCGGTTCGTAATTATTTACAAACTGTTTATCCAAATCGTTGGATTGGCCGCGGTGGGCTCCACGAATGGCCACCAAGGTCCCCAGACCTCAACAGTTTAGATTTCTTTTTGTGGGGCTAACTTAAGACACTAGTGTACACAAGTCCCATTAACACTGTAGAGGAATTAAGAAAAAGAATAGTTGCAGCTTGTGATAGAATAAAAAACACTCCGGGGATATTTCAACGAGTGCGCAATTCCATGAGTAGGAGGGCGGAAGCATGCATACTAATTACTAACTGAAGGGGGCCATTTTCAACAATTTTTGCAATGATTTCATTCAACACTCCGAGTTTTTGTAAGGAAACATTTTTGGACTAGAGTTTATAAAGCAGACTAACATTAATTTTTCATGTAGATTCACACCCTTAAATATTCGCATATCATTAAGGAACACCCTGCATACAGGAAAAAGTAGTTAAGAGGCAAACAATACACTATTATAAATAATTATATAATTATCAATAAATCTTTGTTTGGAAAAAGCACTTCTAATTTGATACACCCACCTATGCTTCCCCAGGATGGTGCAACCCATACGTCATTTAACTGCCAATAAAGGGCACCCATGGTGCGACCTTTTCCTTCTTCATCAATAATACTTCTGTGAATGCGGTAATGTTCTGTTTCCGTTTTTGTACCTAGAGCTTGTATTACCTAAAAAAATATTTCCACTTGAAATAGCAATATCAGCAGGTGTTGAAAGCCGTAACTCAAGTTAGTTTTGATATCGTCAAATAATTCGGGAGCTAACGCAATTTGTGTTCAGTTTTTTCGTTCGAAATTGACACATATGAAACGTATTGTTCACCTGGCCTCCTTTGACTCTTAACGACTGACATTCTCATGGAAATACCTTTTAACTTATAATACGATCTAATATGCTGACCTGTGAGAAGTATATGATTGCTTCAGTATACTTATTATGAGCTTTATTAATTGGTAAAAACTCTCTGTTGATCATGTTGAGCATCTCCTGATTTCCTCCAGGATGATGTTGTCTGTGTTCGAAGAATTTTCCATTAACGTCTAGATCTGAGTCAGATTGAACAACTTCCTTCCATGAATCTAAGCACGGGAACGACTCGTAACCGTATTCTGAAGCGAATCTCGGTAGTGGGTAAGCACTTGAATTCACAGGGTCAATTGTATAATCGTAGAAGTGCACTGAAAATTTTATAGATTAGGTAAGAATTATAGGGTACTAGCTGTTAGTGATGACCCTCTACGCTTATAAAGTGTTAAAAGAATATTACATTGTCAAAAATACATGCTGCTCTAGTGAGAAAAATTGTGACGGTCCGTAAATCCCTTCTCGCTCATGCCCCAAAATCAATTTTCAGTCCACTCTACAGAATCCCATTTCATTATTGCCAATTTTAAGTGTCTAGCAGGCATTTCCAAAATTGCTTTGTAAGTGCTCACTTACGTTATATCAAAGAACCAAATATAAAAAACATATTTATAACTTAAAGAATAATAGTTTTCCCATATTGGCCTTTACGTCCATATCCCTTAAAGGTAGTACATGTCCGTTTCCAAGATCCAATCGATACCTATGCTGAGATTCATCAAAATTGATGCAGCCTTCTTGGCGAGGAAACGGAACAGACATACATACAGGTAGTGTGGCAATTACGAGTATTTGCTTGAAAATCTTCAATTAAAAAAAATAAGCAAGTAAGTTTCGGGCATATTTTAACATCGATCTTTCCAAAGTATCCCTTTAGCTCTAACGGCTCCGACTTTGCTCCCATGATTGGAGGAAATACTCCTCTTAAAAATGTAAGAGAAGCGGGGGGCTCTATGTTCTAAGCAGTGCTTCTGAGAGCAAATTCCCTTGCTACATGTCTCACAATTCGGGACTGGCAAAGCAATTCTCATACCAAGATACAGCAAAATATATACAGGGTGACTTCGAAGTTGAGTCATTTATTTTAACAGTGAGTAGATCTGATCAAAAGAAATGTTTTTTTCCTTTACCATTTTTCTGGTAAATTAAAGTAACAAAGTTATAGCCCTTTGGAAGTTTGAGTACTGCCCTGTCTCAATAATAATATGTTCGTGTTTGGCGACAACGGATATAATCCGCCTGACCGGTTCATCGCATCGGAAACAAAAAAGCGAAAGAATTTGAAACGTTTATCACGATGTTTTTCGTCAGTCGATAACGCGTTAATGAATAGTAGTATTTGTTGCGTGGCTCAAACGAAATCAAAAATGGCACATGTTTACGAAAATGCTGAACTTGTGGACATGATTCTTATTTACGGGGGGGCAGTGTTTACAAAATGCTTCCGGATGCATCACGGATGTATGCGAATCGGTTTCCCAATCGAGTGCAACCAACCCCTCGTGCCTTTGTTAATGTAGTACAAAGGGCTCGTGAATCAGGTGACTTAAGACCTCACAGGTCAGGGCATGCTGCTCCAAGACCGCACGATCAAATACAGGTCCGCACTGAAATACTTGTCGGGACGATACTTTATTAAACAAGGTAACATTTTTTTTTATTTATTTTTTTATTTTTACACACATATTTTGGTTTATCTTCCTTCTACAATCATTATCTGAAAATTAATGACTCAACTTCAAAGTCACCCTGTATATATATACATATATACCATTTTTTTGGAAAAAAGCTTTGGCGTTTTCTATCTACCGCTGGTACCAGGTGAGAAAGGTTAAGTAATTTGTATTGTATGCAAGGTGTTTCAAATTCGACCCTCACCAATGGGATCCCAGAAAACAGTAAAGGCGCAATTCCACTGAGGCAACAATTAACGACATGTGGCATGCTATACTTGTTTTCTAGAGTTGCCCCTTGTTGACGTTCGACAGTGTTGCCCAAAATTCTATTAATGCCGCATGCGGACTTTCCCCTATGTGGCATGCGCTTTGTCGTACATAAGTGTAGCATGCGTCTTCACGATTCAATTCAAGCAACTCCAGTTTATAGTAGTAAGCCATGTCATTACAGACAGTCGCGGTGGCTGCTTATTTAGTAATTTCTTCGGATCGGAAAAGAAAAAGAAAAACGCCAGAATATTGAATAAGAAATATATACGTAGATGGTCAAAAAATTCAGTACAATTTGTATAATAACTTGGTGGCTGACGATGATGCTTTATTCCGAAATTTCACACGGATGAGTAAATACGATTTTCACTACTTACATGAAAAAATCTTACTATGATAAAAAAATGTGATACCAACTTTCGGGAAGCAATAACGCCCCGCGTGAGATTGCTAGTGACATTAAGATATTTGGCTACGGGTGATAGTTATCTATCGCTTATGTATCTGTTTCGAATACCTGAACCAAGCAATTTCCAATACCGAACAGTTGTATTTTCCTATTTAAAGAAATCAACCGTTAATAAATAAGCCAACTATGGAAATAAAATGAGAAGATGTTTCCTTCTTGTCCCCCTGAAACCATAACCAACCGCAGACACTACTGTCTCGGCTCATTAGCCCTCGTCAGTGCGGTATAGGTCTGCTCGTCTACTACTGGTAAGTCAAGGGACAGCTGTACAAGAAGCAAACAATCGTATACGTCTAAAAGACTGAAGGTACTGTAGCAAGTGGCCTTAGCCACCAACCTTTTTTTCCTCCTGTAATTTATCCTGCTTTAGTCGTGCATCTTTATATCTTTTAGATTTGTTATTCCATAATTCATCAGAATTATGGTAATCTTCAATTAAAGATAATGTTTCTTCATTGGTCCACTCTATTTTGTCGCCTGCTACAAGCCGCACCGATCAGAACGGGTTTGGATCGCCGGCGACACTGATCAACACGTGGTTTCGTGTCGCTGACGGCGCCCTCGAGAGGCAACAACTGACAAATTGTGGCACGCTGCAAGGAGACATTTTTTTGGTCGCTTTGTATTGCCTCTATGGAAAGACAGTGTGCCGCATGCGTCAATGCCGTATGCTACATGTCGCCCAAAAGTTGCCTCAGTGGAATTGCGCCCTAAGAGATACGAAGTCGCTTAAATGGAGATAAAGTTACGTATTTAGGTAATCAAAAAAGTTGCGAAGTCCAAAGTACTTCCGGAGCGAGACGGAAAAGACGAATTGTTTAGTTTAATTGCAGTGGAATTTCAAAATAAATTTCACACTGACTTTGCTACTTCTTCTCTTCTACAAGATTCTCGAATTCCAATATGACGTTACGTATCTTGTCCTCCAGCATCAAATTTATTTATTCCTATGGACGCCATATTGGAATTTTACGCAGATAAATAGTGTTTGGTTCTGATTTTAAAAATGTATAAATACATTGATTTTGCAAAACCTTAGTTAATCCAGTAAAACAGAATTTTCTAGCTAGGCGTTTTCATTTGTTTCGTATACGAGACTTCAAATTAAACAGCAACAGAGCTTAGAAGACTGCGAAGAACACAAATAAATCGAGCAGTGAACAATGTACAGAGAAGAGTCGAAATAACATCTGCTATGATTTACCTCTGCTTATTTATCAGTATTATTGTTATTACCATCTATAAATTTATATGTTGTGCTCAGGTGTCACCATACCTTTTTATTCGCTTAGAATTTTCATTCAACAACAAATTCACGGACAGTTAAGAAAATACATCTCTGAATTTAGGACTATTTTTTTAGGTCCATTGAAATGTTAAAAATTCCAATATAGCGTCCATATGAAAAATAAAATTGGTGAAATCGGAAAAAATAAAGTTGATGCTGGAGCACAAGAGACAAAACGTCATATTGAAATTCTAATAATGCCACATTGTACAGGAGAAAAAGTTGGCAGTGCTAATGTGCAAGTTATTTTGAAATAAAATAAGTTTCCCAAAATTTAGCTACAAGCTCTAGAACATATTTTCGATGCACGTTACTGTTCTCATGTCGCTTATTAGATATTTTTGCTGTTCTATTAGCGCACTGATTATTTCCGAAAAAGATTTCGATAATTTCAACTCTTTCTGCTGTTATTTTAGCAACAACGTTTGGTCAAATCAATCGCAAACTATGTACTAATTCCTATTTAAAATAAGTACGAGATATTTCCTTATCTTTCTTCAACAAATAACTTTTTTGCCACAAAAAACGCTCCAACAACTATTTTCACCAACAAAATGATAAACAAACCATGCGCGTAGTGAAAAAAAGCATTTACTTATTAAGTAAATTCTTTTAGTCAAATTTCTTCTGAAAGCAGTACAAACTAATCTGATGTACCTATTAAAGTCTACTTTATGCTTTAAATCAATAAATCTTCAAAACTACTGAACTGAAGTACATTAATTTTATATCATTATAAAGGGAATTGAAAGACCTTTAAAATAAGGTATCACTAGACCCCCCTTTCCATTTAAGATTTTAGGGTTGGTGTCACCCCCGCACAGGAGGCTGCACGTGTTAACGTGATTTTTTGCCATACTTGTGTCAACCTCGAAAACAAAATCGACGTGTCTGAGCGTTTTTCAAAAAAAAAAATTGAGCTGCCAGTAAATGCGTCTGTTTCGTTTTCGATGCGCCACCCTGTATAAACGCTATTTAAAATAAGTAATGTCTAATTTTCGACTACATTCCTTTTGACAACGCTACTAATAAATTCATTTTCAAAAATACGCATTTAATATAAAGTATCAACTTCAATCTTGGACTGACGTTAGAAGGAAAGTCCTCTATCTCCAGATAGTACTTCCCTAACTACAGTGTTGGTAATTATGTTATTAAACCAAAATCAAATAGGTGAATTGACTCACCGTCTCCAAATTGTGGATTGCCCGGATTTTGTGCTACATAACCTTCTAGTTCGCTCTGTTTTCCATTTGATGGACTAGATGTGATAAAAATGCGCCGCTTATGGGTTATTTCTTCGAATCTCCTTTTCACTGTTTCTACATACAGTTTTACGTAATCATTTTTATACAGTGTAAAGTTTGATGTACCGTACCTAGAAAGACCAAGTTACTTTGTTTCTCCTTGCTTGAAAACAGGCAAAAAATAATAGGCACGTATGTTGACAGGGTAGAAGAGATACTTTGTAAGGACTAAATAACTGTCTGAATAAAGGGTGGTCCATTTAAAATTTTTTTTTTAAAAATGCTATAAAAAAAAAACTACTAAATATTTTTCCAAATTTTTTTTTTATTTGAAAGTACAATCCTTCCGATTAAGTATGGAATACAACTTTATTTAAATGACTGCCGCGGCTGGCTTTGCAGTAGCCCATACGGTCAGTCCAATTTTTGACCACATTTTCAATCGTATGTGGCTGTATTTCAGCAATGGCAGCGCGTATGTTCTCTTTTATTTCGCCAATTGTTGCTGATTTGTTGGCATAACATTGGTCTTTAATGGCACCCCATAAATAATAATCTAATGGGGTCAAATCACAGCTCCGAGGCGGCCAAACAACATCAGAATTTCGGCTGATAATGCGATCACCGAAAACACTTCGCAGAAGAGCAATCGTAGCGTTTGCTGTGTGACACGGAGCACCGTCTTGTTGAAACCAGATGTTACCGACATCAATATCTTGAATTTGTGGAAAGAAAAATTCATTTATCATGGTACGGTAACGCTCACCATTCACAGTAACTGCTGCTCCGGCTTCATTTTCAAAGAAAAATGGGCCAATGATGCCACCAGCCCAAAATCCGCACCAAACAGTCACTCGTTCTGGATGCATTGGCTTTTCTTCGATTGCGTGTGGGTTCTCTGAACCCCAAATGCGGCAGTTTTGCTTATTAACATAGCCGCCAAGATAAAAATGCGCTTCATCTGAAAAGATGATTTTTCGACCAAAATCAACATCTTCATCAAGTTGATTGCAGGCCCATGAAGCGAAGCGAAAACGCATTGGATGGTCAGTTGGCTTCAATTGCTGAACCAATTGAACTTTGTACGCCTTCATACCAAGGTCTTTATGCAAAATTCGACCTAATGATGTGCGTGAAATGTTCAATTGTTGAGAACGTTGGCGCGTTGATGTGCTTGGAGACTCTGCCACACTCTCAGCTACAGCATCGATATTCTCGGGTGTACGCACCGTTTTCGGTCTTTCACGTGTTGGTTTGTCAATAAGAAGACCAGTTTCACGAACTTTTTGCACAAAATACCTCACATACGGTGCTGACGGTGATCCATTTCTTCCCATTTTTGCACGTAATTTTCGGACACAATCTGCAACATTACCACCACTTTCGAAATATTGTTTTAATATTTCCCAGCGTTGTTCAAGCGAATACACAACCATTTTCGTTAATCGGAATGATATGACTGATGTTCTGTCAAATCAGATGCGAAATAAGTCTTGACATATCCCAAAAAACCAGTAACTCAAAAAAAAAACGATAGATGGACCACCCGGTATAAGGAAATTCTGAATACTTTGCCATTAATAAAAAATCATAAGTACAGTGAAAGCTCCCATAAGCGGACACTCACGGTTCCGTAACTTTTGTCCGCTTATGGGAGGTGTCCGTTTAAAAGAGAGTATATAATCATGAGGAAATGAGGTATTATAATCATGAGAAAAATGAAACAGAAACTCGCCACATTTTTAAAGTATGTATTTATGCTATATATCTATATAATATATGTATGTACATATACGCATACAAAAACATAAATGCTTCAATACATGGTACGAGAATTTAAAAAAAAACATTATTCTTTAGCTTGTTGAAAAAAGTTTAAAATCTTTGTCTGACGAAATTTCACCATCTTTTGCTGAAGGAGACAATTTTCGTAATAACTTTCTAAATTTTTCAAATATTGAAATGCAGTGAAATCATCTTTAGCAAAATTTTTCAATATAGAAATATGATTTAGAGCTTCCCCATATGAATTTATCGTTTTTGAACCGCTTAGTGAGTCCACCAGTTCCACTTCTTCTTCTGAGTCGTTTGGACTACCATATTCAAGTTGGCCTGGGCTTTCTACATCCAAATTCGAAAAGTTGCCAATGGCATTTTCTTCTGTTGTTATGTTATTGTCTATGGCCAGGAAATCATCTACTTTCTGGGGATCTGCTACTCCTAAATGTTTGGCATGTCGCAGTAACTGAGCAAGTGTCGCTAAGGGCAGATCGTCTTCAGCATCGCAATAATTTTGCTCAGCAAATTCTGAGCTACATTCACTTTTTCTGAATCCAGCTTTGCCAAAACAGTTTTTAATTGTAGAGGAATTTACTTTATTCCATGCTGTTTTTATAAAATACAAAGCTTCTAACACATTGATAGACTTTGTAAGCTCAGATAAGCTTTGACCATCGTCAATTTTTGTTAAAATATGTTTTAAAATCAAGTGCCGATAATAAAATTTAAAGTTCTGTATGACACCTTGATCCATGGGCTGACAAACAGAAGTTGTGTTTGGCGGTAAAAATATAATTTTCACATTTTTCATTTTCATATCACGAGGATGAGAGCATGAATTGTCTAAAAATAAAAGAACTTGTCTTTTTTGGATTCTCATTTTCCGGTCGAATTCGACTAACCACTCAGACATGATTTCTCGGGTCATCCATGCCTTTTTGTTGGATTTCCAAGTCGCTGGTAGATCCTTAATAGCAACGTTTTTTAAAGCACGGGGACGAGCCGCTTTCCCGATCACAATCAAATCGCATTTTTCACCGGCCATATTTGCACAGAATAAAATGGTTAGTCTATCTTTAGACAACTTTCCACCCACACATGTTTCTCCTTAAAGGACAGAGTTTTGTCGGGCAATGCGCGAGAAAAAAGTCCACTCTCATCTGCGTTGTACACATCTTCTGGTTTGTAGCCAAGCAACATGGACGGAAGTTTCTCCAAAAATTGTGACACATCAACTTGATCTACTGCAGCAGCTTCGCCAGATATGCATTTGAAACTCACACTATGTCTCTTGCGCCACTTTTGCAGCCACCCGTCGGACGCACTGAAATTATTATAGCCCAAAGTAGTGGCGATTTCTTTAGCTTTCATTTTCACTAACGGCCCTGAGAATGGAATGTTCTGACTTCTAGCTTTCACAAACCACTCAAAACATGTTTTGTCTATAGCAAAACCTTCCTTTTTTAAAAAATCCTTCTTTTGATTTATATTAGTTCCTGATTGCCATTTACTCCTGATATCTTCCTTATTTTTGGCAATTTCAGCTGCTTGCGTTTTCCCAATATTAAACCTCTTTGCCAAATGACGAACTGAAACACTTTCTCTGTCTAATACGTTAACAACTTCCATCTTTTCCTTTAACGAGAGCATCCTTTTTTTTGGTGCCATTTTACAGTTACAATAATAAAATACGTAACTCAATCAACTACGAATTTGCCTAAACTGAAGACAAGCCACAAGATTACATACATAATTTTATGTATGTAGATATGTGCATTGCAATAAGCGGAACTAAAAAATCGTCCGGGTATTAGACTTTCGCGTCCGCTTATGGGAGATTTTTTGATCACATACAGGAAAATCTAGTGTCCGCGTCCGTTTATAAGAGCGTCCGTTTATCGGAATGCATTTAACATTGAAAATTGATGGCTGAAATTCGGTTCCAGGAACTTTGTCCGGTTAAAAGAGATGTCCGCTTATAGGAGCTGTCCGCAAGGAGAGCTTTCACTGTAATTGGTTATTTATAAATGATTGCATTTTACCAATTGTCTCTCAGTGCTGCCTCGTTCTCGTTATTTCCAGCAAATAGTGCGATTGATGTATGTCCGCTCAATCTTTTCACTTGGTAGTCTACCTCCTCCAATACATTGCTGTAAAAAGGTATAATTTGAAAATGTTCAAGATGAATTGAAAATTTCGATCACAGAAGATATGAACCAAGCAGTCTAGATGCAGTTATGGTGACACGAAATGACGTACAGAAAGCGGCCAAAATCATATTTTTCAAGAAAGTCTAAACAAATTTTAGAGTGTGGATCAGAATTATCATTACCAAAAGTAATCCTAAAAAACAATAAGAATATATGACTTTAGAGGAAATGAAACAGGCAGTAAATAAACACGCTAAAAAAATATACCTATAAAGTTTATTGTTTAGATTTAAAGAGTTATTAAAAGTGATAAATTCAAATAATGGTTTCTAGTTATTAGAGGGCTCAATACAAAATTTCTGTAATTCAATTAACTTTTACAACGCCTATGACGAATTTGAATCTTTTAATACACGTTCTTGTTTCCTGGATAAGTCTTCGTTAAGAGTTCGCTTTTTTAGCATTTTTATGGGCAAATTAAAAATTAGCGTCCCAAATTACCCCGTTGTGCAGACCTTCTATTCGCCTACAATAAGGAGACACGAAAATGGAAGTTTTGCCCTGAGAAAGTTCAAAGTTTAAATGGATACTTAATAATAATAATAATCGTCTTTATTTATAACGATACACACACACAAAAAATACTTATTTATACAGGGGCTGATCTTTCAAATAATATTTAACCCTATTTAAAGGCAATGGTTTTGTGTGTGATGTGGCATGGTGAATAAATGCGAGATCTGATAACTCTATTGGATGAAATATTTGAGCGAGGTGTTTATTTTTCAAACATAGTGGTTTTCTATTATTTTCAATTTTGTGTACAAGAGTGAGTAAATGGTATTGGAAAAGTCCGAGGACGTTTAACCAGCTCATACTATCAATGCTCCTTGAAGTATAGTCATATTTTTTTAAATTATTTATCAAATGGCAACAATTATTTTGGATTTTTTGTAGTCGTTTTGATCTAAACATGGAAAATAAAGGGTAATATAAAATAGAAATAATAGAATAATGACAGAAAGGGATATAACTAAGCTAATTAATTTGCTTTATTTTCATTTTTACGAATGCAGTGCACACTAGGAAAAACTAATAGTAATTATTTGTAGCAGGTTGCGGTGACGTACTATTTTTATTTGGAAAAATAATGCCGCTAATCCCCTGTATCTCCGCCACTGGTGCACGTTAATTTCAAGAGAAGACTTTTGAATGTGGACAATACTTAGGTAAATCCACATACCAAATTTTAGTTCAATCCAGTTGACGGTTTTGAAGACAATAAAAAAATTGTTTTTTATTTTCAAACTTAATCTCTATCTTTTTAATGAAGCCATCGAGGAAAAAATGTTACATAGAAGGCCCCCCTTAAAATGCGGTCCTGTGTATGATGTTTCATTTTTGGTCCGACCTATAAATCACCTTGTATATGGGGCATCTTTTTTTTATCAAATCCCCTTTCTTGGATGAATCGGGTGCAAAATTCATGAATCTGATTAGCGGGAGTTTTTGAATTATTTCTAATCTTGACTTCCTTCCAACTATGACTTTGATATCCAGGACAGGCAGAACATGGAGGATTACTGATCAATAAGGTTTCGACTCACTCCAAAAACTCTTCATTGGTTGGATACATGGCACACGCAAACATGAAATCTTGCCAAATGAGGATGCCCATTTCGTCTGCAACTTCGTAGAAATACTCTGATTCGTATACACCGCCTCCCCAAACTCGCAACATGTTCATATGGGAGTCTTTAGCAGCTTGAAAGAGTCTCCGGACTCTCTGCTTATCCTGACCAAGTTCTGGTAAGATATGTATCGGGATCTGGTTGGAGCCTTTCATAAAGATCGGCACGTTGTTCACTTTAAAATAGTAGGATAGGCCCTTGCCTGAAAATTACATCAAGTTGGTTAAAAACTCTGTTTTGATTTGTAAAAAGCGTCTCCTTATCACGCTCGAGATTAGTTTCTTAGGCCCGTATCGTCAGTCGTCCCTACAATTGTAGGGCGCCTTTATGGCCTCCTTGATTGTCATAGTTTTCTACTTCTCCGTGTCAGCGCTCTATTTTGAGGTTATGTCACAAACATCTATTTGCATCAAATTGTGCTTGCTTTTCCTACAATTTAAAAAGAAAACATATATTCACAATAGGAGAGCGCTGACGCTGACACGGGACAAGTGTAATCTAGAAATTTTTGAAGGAGAGAAAGGAGTATGACAATCAAGGAGGCCATAAACGCCTAAGGCCAGTAAAAGTTTTCTAGTTTTCGAAATACTGCCACTTTTAGGTTTTTTCGAAAAATCTCTACTTTTTGCTGATGCTAAAAAAATATATATATATAGCAAATGAGCTTAAAAACTATCTATTTATTGTTCTCTCAAACATAGTATAACATTTGTAGGTTCTTTTAACCAAAAACTGAATAATTTGAAGTTTTGACATTGAAGCCGTAACACTTGCGAAATACTATAAATAAAAAATAATATTTTTAAAAGGCTAGTTTTTAAGATCATTTGCCGATTCTGTCGGATACATTTTTTTCACAGTAATTAGTCAAACTTGAGTAAAGGTTTTCGCATTGAAACCAAATGTAGTAGTTTTCAATGCAATGAATACTCGGATGTCTCAACCAAATATTAATGGTAGCTCAGGGAGAAAATCATAAGTTAGAAGTTTTTTATAGTCATAACAGGCAAAAAAGGAGCAAAAAGCAGGTTATTTTTTTGAAAAACACCTAAAAGGCAATATCTCGAAAACTAGAAAACTTTTACTAAGGTCATGTTGATTTTATCTGATATCTACTTCCAGTGTCACTCTGGCGTATTATTTCTGGGACACAATGTATAGCGTAAATGTGTCAACTTGTTGTTGTTTAGTTCTTTTTTGTACGTTATTCTAGGCTACAACGTTTTTCTGTATCGTGAGCACTACGAGGTCTGTAAATTAAGTAACGAGACTGGCAACGTAGCGTTCGATCTGGCAACACTGGAGGCGCCGGGCTTGGGGGAGAGACAGGGGAACATGTGATCCGCCTTCAGTACACGTTTGATCTTGCTCGAGTCATTTAGTTGTCCGTAGCGACGTTTTGTGAAACAGTTTTTCTATTGTCTTCTAAAAATGAGTGACATCAATTTCGAGTAACGGTGTACTATCAGGTTTTACTTCTAACTTGGGCACAGCGCAGTGGAAACTCTTGCTACACTTCAGCAGCCCAGGGTTTTCGGTGGTTTATATCGTCGGTGGACAGTCAGAATGATCGGGGACGAGTTAAATTGGGTATTAAGTCACGATAATAATACTCCCTGTCACTCAGCCATGTCAATAAGCGAGTTTTTGGCCAGTGAAAACATCCCTGGGGCTCTTCAGGCTCCTTATTCGCCTGACTTGAGTCCTTGTGACTTTTTTCCGAAGTTGAAAAATCACCCCAAGGGAACTCATTTTGGAACAGTCGAAATCATTCAAGCGGCTGTAACCGATCAGCTGAAGGCTATTCCAGTATCGGAGTTCCAGCACTGCTTTGAGGAGTGAAAGAACCGTCTCCAGCGCTGTGGGGCATCAGAAGGAAGTTATTTTGAGGATGACAATATAAAATTGTAATTATATTTGAACAAAAAAAAATCAGTCTCATCGTTTAATTTACAGCCCTTGTATATGAGTGAATAATTGGAGAAATTTCAAGTATCTTTAAAACTTCCGTGATATAAATGAGTTTTGTTTTATGAAACTTACCAATTGGTTCTTCAACAAGTTCGATTGTTCTAAAACCAACTGAAACTTGCTTGAAACTTTGTTCGTCTCCATTTTTATAAGTGACTTCAAGAGTGTACAACTTTTGGTCACCGTATCCGTTAGGCCACCAAGTACTAATTTTGGACTGTAATTAGAACAATTTTTGACTTCATAAATCTGGTTTTTGGGTGCCATTTTTCTAATATGGTGGCGCAAATTAGAAATATACGAAGTGAAAATTCTTTAAGAGCACTTAGACTTAGACAGTCTATATTACGTGGTGCAGCTACAAAGTTTCGGAAATTTATTAATAAAAGGACAAACATCTAAGAAGAGGGCAACATTTTATAACCAATCTCCTTTCAACTACGCAGTGGCCGCTCCTCAACTACACAAGGTCCACCTGCAACTATAGGCAATGATTCCGCTGTTGCTCCCACAACTGAAGGCATTCTTAGTTATCCAGAAAAGTTAACCCGTCCAGCACTAATACATCGGCGTATTCAAGTAGATAATCTTACTGAGTGTATTCACGTTTCTGCTGTGAATCAATCAGTTATTCTTAATAAACAGGGATAAATTACATAAGGTAAAAAAAAAACGAAAGTAAAAATTAATTAACGGTATAGCACATGAACAGTTATGCTTAATTCGTGATTTAGGAAGGCGAAAAATTGTCTTCATCAAACAGCAGTAATGGCGGAATACCTGATATTTTTTCTAATTAGTTGTGATCCGAGCAGATTCTTGGCTAAAGGCAAATACCTAGATGAGCATAATGAGCCGAATTCATAAAAGAGAAGCATATCCTCGGAAGCATAAGGTAAAAGTATAAGGTCTTGCTTCGGAGAAAAAGGTAGAAGTATAAGCATATCCTTGTTTTAATATTCATAATGATTACCTTATACTCGCGAGGATATCCACCAAGAAGACGTGAAAGATTGACTGGTATTTGTATTTTGAGCGACATGCCCTGACTTGTTCCAGCTTGTAGTTCACTCAGCATCAATGACAGTTGTACTCCAGAGCTTACACAGACTGTTCCGTATTTTTACTGGATAAAGTTTTTTATCAAATTAATAAGCATGTCATCCTCAAGTGATGAGGAAACTATAGAAAATAATGGCAACGACCTGCAGGTCATCGCAGATGAAATTGCCATTGCTCCCATTATTTTGCAAAAGTCCAAGTTCCAAAAATAAAAATGAGAAAGGACGATGCCTTGAAGAAGATGTTGAAAAAATACGAATCCATATTCGGTAAACCATTAGATTCTAAAGGCTTATTAAAAAAAATCAACAACATGAAATCAAGATTGAAGAAAAAACCAGATCTAAAAAAAATTATAATAAAGCAATTAAATTGTTAGATTGGGAAAGAAAGTTGCTGAAAGCTATGGAAGGTGACTGTAATCCTACAATTGGGAAAATTAGAGGTACCATTCAGGTTGTTAGTGCTCAAGAAGAAGGAAGTGAACTATATACCGAGAGCAGTGAGCAAACAGTTAGTATTACAGCGCCTGCAATTCAGAAGACACTGCCACCAAAAAGAAAATTAGCAACAGAGAAATACGAAACTGAGAAAACCAAAGGGTTAACTACAAAAGAACTGCAATGTCTAATGGTATTACAGCAGTACCAAACAAGTATTTCACAAGAGTATTATAAAACGAAATTAGAAATGATGCAGCGTCAGAAGCCACCTGTAACTAATTATAACTTATAAATACACTTTAATCAGTAAAACTATTTATTATAATACTCAAGTTTCTTCTTATTTGTTGACCTAGTTGGCGGTGAGGAAGTTCGTCATTCTCATGATTTCCTTCATCTTCATCTGGGTCTTGTTCAACTAACTCAAAGTCAGGATCGCCAAGCTCTTCGCAACATTATGGAGTACAATACACGCAATAATTATTTTCGGCACATTTTCCAACTTTACGCGGCAAACATACTGTACGATAGGAAACCGGCATTTCAGTTGGCAAAAACAGCGTTGAATTATAACTCTTTCTTGTTTTAAAAGCTTATTATAATTTATTTCTGGAGTAGGATTTCTGAAAGGAGTCATAAAGGATGGCTCAATACCATAACCGTCATCGCCAAGTAGTACAACATTGCTTTATTTATTAGTTGTGAATCTAGTCTGTGAATTCTCCATATTCTGGAATCATGCGCTGATCCAGGCCAACTGACATCAACACTTGTGAACATTCTCTGGCATCACAAGTGGCTTGCAAATTTAAAGTAGGTTTCCCTTTTTGGTTGATATACTCATCTCCATGGCGATTTAGTTTCAGGATTCCTGTATGTGTACAATCAATTACACCAATTGCTGTCGGAAATTTATACATGCTTTGCCATATCCGCATGGCCTCCATCAGTTCATGGTTGGTAGTTGGAAACTTGATCCATTCGTTCGACTGTGCAACTATACTGTTCACAACTCTATCCACAGTCCGAGATACCGTTGCTTTACTAACACCAAGTTCCTGACCAATACCTTGTTGATATCCAGCGAGATAGCGTAGACATATCTTCATTTTATGAATGCATGAAAGTGCTCCACCTCGAGTTTCCTCATTCTCAATTAAAAATCTGTCCGCAAGCCATTGTACATTTGCTTCGTCAAATCGATATATATAACGACCAAGTGGAGGTAAACGTGAGTATGGATGTCTCACCCCCCCAATCTTTTCGGGAGTCGGCATTTTTGGAAGTGTCGGGTGACTTTGAAGTTGAGTTTTACAACAAAAACCCAGCGAACCACTCGTAGATGACTCGGTACCCACCGAGGAAGCGCCCTGGCAGTGTTGCCAAGCTGCCAGAAAATATTTAAAATCTGTAATATACTTTGAAGTTGAGTCATTAATTTTCAGATAATGATTGTAGAAGGAAGATACACCAAAATATGTGTGTAAAAATAAAAAATAAATAAAAAAAAATTTTACCTTGTTTTATAAAGTATCCTCCCGACAAGTATTTCAGTGCGGACCTGTATTTGATCGTGAGGTCTTGGAGCACCGGCATGCCGTCCCCTGTGAGGTCTTAAGTCACCTGATTCACGAGCCCGTTGTACTACATTAACAAAGGCACGAGGGGTTGGTTGCACTCGATTGGGAAACCGATTTTTTATTTCGTTTGAGCCACGCAACAGACACCACTATTCACTCACCCGTTACCGACTGACACTCACTGTATACAACTGAATAAAATAATTGTAAAAACATCGTTCCAAATTCTTTCGCTTTTTTGTTTCCGATGCGATGAACCGATAAGGCGGATTATATCCGTTGTTGCCAAACACGAGCACATAATATTATTATTGAGACAGGGCGGTACTCAAACTTTCAAAGGGCTATAACTTTGTTACTTTAATTTTACCAGGAAAATGGTAAAGGAAAAAAACATTTCTTTTGATCAGATCTACTCACTGTTAAAATAAATGACTCAACTTCGAAGTCAAACACAAAAAAAAATTGTACGCGATTATAAAAAAATTACATTTTTCGGAAGCTTCCTGTGTACTTTTTATGTCTCTTCTGTTTAGTTTCTCTTTTAGTATGTTATTATCATGAAAAATTTCGACTAATGTTAGTCGTTAGTCGGAATTTATGAAAGTTTCAAATTCTCAAAATGCCGACTAAAAAGTAGTCTTTTTGAAAAGTCTTAAAAAAATTATTTGAACTACGCGCTGTGGTGGTTATAAAAAATTTCGGCTAATGTCTGTTGAATCTCAGTAAGCAAAATCGTTTTCCAGTCGTACGATTTTGCGAAAAACATGTCCGAAAAATATGTGTATTGAATCATTCAATACACAGGTTTGGGAGTTATTCAATTAATTTGATATTCACACTTTTTTTGGGACTACTGATTGCCCTCACTAGTATCTCATGGCAATAAAATTACTACTTAAAATTACTATTTATATCGTAAAAGCAAACTTTTCCTAAGAATTTGAAGATTCAAAATTAAAGCAGACAAAACTCAAAGTTAGAGTTACAGTTGGACCTTTTCAGTGTCCATCAAATAATTTGGTTTGTTTCCAACACTCTTCATTTTTCAATGAATCAAGAAGAAGTTGAATCAAATGCTTTATTACTAATTGTATTTGAATTTGTGTAAAATCATATTCATCTTACCTTTGGGACTACTAATGAAGTAGATACGGCAGGATTTTTGCCGTCAACCGAAACATGGATTACACTTTTAACCCACTGGTTGTCAGTGATTTTCAGAGCAACAACCAATTCGCCTGTGATTCTTCGCCCTTTTACATGATTTTCTACCAAGTAAGTGTCTACGTGAAGTAACCAGTTTGTACCGTTGACTTCCAAATCAGTAACTACGTGCCGTATAATAGTACTGTTAAATGCCTCTATGCTTACGTTTTTCCTAAGAAAAAGAATCCGTGATTCATCTTGCGATAGATCTTCTTTTACAACGAACTTTTGCCTGGTTGTATTTCAAAATCTAGTCTAGTTTAGTCTAATTTTTAGCCGAACTTATTGTCAAGGCCGGATTAGTCACAACGCAATATTGTGATTTTGTACTTCGATAAATAATAACCATAAACTGTAAATTTTGAAGTCTAATTATTTCTCAAAACATGTATTTTTTTATTTCAATAAATGAGCATCCTTTTTGAGAAAAATAGTTTTGTTTTAATAACTGTCGATTTTCACTGCAAATCTGAAATGTTATCAAGTGATATGAAAATGTATATCCTTAAGTTTCTCGGATCGCTGCTGAATTGAGGATTACAATATTTTTAAATTTACAATACCTGTCGGAATTATGATTGAATAAACTGCACTGAAACAAGACTGTTCTTCTCAAAAAATGGCCTTAACTATTTCCCGCGCACACAGTAACTCAAGAACAGAAAAACCAGGACAAACGTCCAAAGAAATACTTGTTTTGCATTTGCCTACAGATTTTGTTCAGTTATAAGCCTGCATAATTCATCCTTTGATAACATTAGTTCCATTTAGTTAGCTTTGCAAAGCAGAATTAAAGTAAAGCTCATGCCTGTCTTATCACACGTAAAACTGTTGAAAAGCTCGTGTCAAAATAATCGGCTGCATTGAGATGTGGCAAATGTATTTCGGAGTCGAAAGTATAGGGTGTTTCAGTTTATTGTTGCATAACTTTAAGATTCGATAGAACTTTTAAAATTAATGCATAAAGTCTATATAAACATGGGTCGAAAAATGCGTGGCTTCCGAAATACAGGGTGTTTAAATTTACTTTCTAAAATAGTTTTTTTTTTATATTTCGAACAATATTTGATGTATAACAGTGAAAATTGGTATACAAGGGTTTTTTGGTACGACAAAACGAACCATGGGCATAGTTTTACTGTAGCCGCTAGAGGGCGTTCTCTACTGTACCTGTAGTGTATTAAAATGTCCGAAAATTTTTTCTTAGTGCAATTTTTTACTTTTTGAATAAAAAAACTGATTCTTCGCACTTTTTAACATAAAAAAGCGCTCTTGTAAATTTTCCTTATAGTTAGCCGTTTTTGAGATATTTCGATTTTTAAGGCTCGATGCATTTTTAATTATTTATGATAAAATAACGTTAAAAAGATAGTATCTCGATAATTTTTAGAAGTAGGCTGTGCCTGCAAATATTTTTGAAATTGAAAGCAGAATAAGGTTAAACGTCAATTAGTTGACAGTTAGTTTTGTTGTCTGCTGAAACCTGAAACGTTTTTTTGCAATTGTGAATGCACGAAATTTAGTTTCTTTTGCTTGTTTTTTTTTAAGTTTCATAAAAATGCCATTTTTATTCTCCAATCAAGAGTCAGCGGATATTCATTTTGTGTATGGCTTTGTAAATGGAAACGCAGCAGAAGCAGCCAGAGAATACGCACGAAGATTTCCAAACAGACGACATCCAACTCGCTCAGTATTTGTAAGAGTGCATCGCCAACTAATTGAAAATGGTTTTTGAAATCTACAAAGGGATCAAAACATAAATGTTCGTCAGCGCAGATTTGCCCGTATGATTCTGTGTGAGTTTGATAGAGATCCGACCACAAGTGTTAGGAGAGTTTCTGGTGCCTTGGGAATTTCAGCAAGCCATGTTCACCGTGTTCTTAGAAATGGCCATAGACGTCCTTACCATTTGCAACCTGTGCAAGGACTACAGCCAGGGGACGGAGAACGAAGAATCACATTTTGTCAGTGGATTCTTGATAGAACTGATAATAATAGGGAGTTTTTAAGTAACGTTTTATGGACCGATGAGTCATGCTTCACTAGACATATTTGGTCGCATGAAAATCCGCATGCAGTTCGGGAAAAAATTTTCAGCATGAATTTAGTGTGAACGTGTGGATTGGTATCTACCGTAATCGACTATTTGGACCCTACCTTTTTCCTGTAAGGTTAAATGCTGCGACCTTCTTGGAATTTTTAAAGGCTGAACATGCAAATATGTGGGATGATGTTATGTTAGATTTAAGAAGATTGGCCTTGATGGTTGTCCAGCTCATTATTCGAGAATAGTTAGAAACTGGCTGGACGAAAATTATCCAGAAAGATGGATCGGCCGTGGAGGACCAGCCGCCTGGCCTCCACGATCCCCTGACCTAAATCCTTTAGATTTCTTTGTGTTCGGTCATTTTAATACACTACAGGTACAGTAGAGAGCGCCCTCTAGTGGCTACAGTAAAACTATGCCCATGGTTCGTTTTGACGTACCAAAAAACCCCTGTATACCAATTTTCACTGTTATACATCATATATTGTTCGAAATATTTAAAAAAAAACTATTTTAAAAAGTCAATTTGAACAACCTGTATTTCGGAAGCCACGCATTTTTCGACCCATGTTTATATAGACTTTATGCATTAATTTTAAAAGTTCTATCGAATCTTAAAGTTATGCAACAATAAACTGAAACACCCTGTAATATGATTATATGGCACTGTATTACTTTCCAATCCGCACATGACACGATACGTCAACAATAATTAATAATTAATAATAATAATTTGTCACTGATTCCTAGTGAATTAGAGAATGCAAACGGAGTTTAGAAAAAACGCCTATCAGATCCTCTTTTTCGTATAGAAACAAGCTTAATTTAAGAAATATATCAATTTTGGATGCAGCCCACTGGAGCTTCCACCATGTTGATTTCAAAAAAATCAATATCAAATCCATTATCAGAGACATCAAAAACGTAAAAATTTGAATTTGTGTGCAATCAACAATTTTTTTGCAAACATGTCCGCCATGTTTGGATCTGCTTTTTTGATTTTTGAAGAATTGATACTGAGTTCGTTATCAGAGACCTTTAAAACAAAAATACTCGAATTTAAGCGGAATCAAAATTTTCTTTGCTAATCTTCGCCATTTCTTATTTTCGAAAAACCGGTATCAAATTCGGGCTCAGTGGTCTCGAAAGCATATGAAGTTTTTGGTGAGTTTTCCTAACTCTGCTAATGTTTTAGAACTTGTGGACCACTGTGTACTGTCAAAGTTTCATTGATTTGCATAGTATCATTCAGAAGTTATTAAAAAAAAAATTCCAGTGTCGTCCTTTTATCTATTTGAACTTGTGACATTATTGTATGTACTATACAGGGTGTCCCGAAAAAAGTGTGCAATATTCTACCAGCGGTTTATAAAGCTCAAAATAGGAAGAAAAGTTTATATAAACATAGGTCGTCAAACGTCCCCTAAGGGCGCTGCGGTCTTTTAAAGGGGCTCCCCTGAAGATGGTTTTTCCTTAATACTTCCGAAACGTGTTGAGATAAAGACATAAAATTTGATATTCTAGCCTAATTCTTTATGCTGGATTTAAAAATATTAACAATTTTAGACAGTTTTGTTTGGAAGCGTATGCAACAGGGACGGAATCAGGTAATTTTAGCCCCAAAATTTTTGTGCTATTTTTAAATAAAATCAAACTAAAAACTTTGTCACCTGATACGAAATGTACTGCGAATTTAAATGAATTGTTGATTCTACATAGTTAGCCATGAGTGCAAACAAAAGTTGTTTTGGTTTGTTATGGCTTATTTTGACGTTAAGCTGACATTGTTAGCAGTGTAAAATTACTAGAGTGAAATCAAAATTTTTATTGAATTTATTTAAATTAAATTTTTTTTATTAAATCGATTTAAAATCCCAAGATTTACAGACAGAGAACTGACTGACATGCATTTTGTGTACGGGTTTTGCAATGGCAGTTCATTGGCAGCCGTAAGAGAATATCAAAGAAGATTTCCTAATTGCATAGTACCTGGACGTCGAATGTTTACTGATATTCACCGGAATTTGTCAAACCATGGAAGTTTTCAGCGCATGCAGGGCTCAGGAAGGCCACTGGAAAATCATCGTATGGATATTGCTTTAAATATGTTTGAAAATAAGCATACGAAATGTTTCAGAAATTATGGATATGCCTCGATCAATAGTAAGAAAAATTTATGAATACCTATTTGATAGTTATCCTAAAAATAATAATTTTAGAATGACAAGAATGCAAGGATTACATCCTTATCATTTTAAACGGGTGCAGCATGTAACGGAGGCAGATTTTTTACCACGAATCGAGTTTTCCAGTGGATATTAGCAAATGAAAACACTATTCCTAGAATATTATGGTCGGATGAGTCAATATTTACTAGGCGCTTTTAATTTCCATAACATGCATCACTGGTCAGATGAAACTCCAAAAATTGTTCGCCGTACAAATTTCCAACATAGATTTTCATTGAACTTATGGGAAGGAGTAATTGGGGATCAAGTGATTGGGAATATTGTACTTCCCAATCGTCTTAATTCAGAGGTGTATCTGAACTTTCTTCGGAATGAGCTCATGGATATAATACCATTGGATGTGCGCTAGCAGTTTCAAGAAAATATGTTTTTTCAACATGATGGCGCCCCTGCACATTTTGGACGCAATGTTCGAAATTGGTTGAATGTTAATTTTCCAGACAGGTGGTTAGGCCGAGGAGGTCCTATAGCATGCCCGCCACGTTCGCCTGACCTAAATCCATTGGATTTCTATTTTTGGGGGTCATTAAAAGACCTAGTTTACTCGACTGAAGTAAATACTCAAGAAGATTTACTTCAAACAATCCATCAGGCTGCAAATGAAATAAGAAGAAACAGGTTTTCCACTTTTCGGGCTATGCAATCATTAGTTCGTCGAGCGAGACTCTGTATCCAACTAAATGGAAATTTATTTGAACACTTATTGTAAAGCTAGTTTTAAGTATATCCAACTGTATGTCTTCTTTTTTAAACAAATTTCAATTTCGTTCGTAGAAAAAAATGTATTCTTTTGTTTTTGCCTAAATGTTAGCTATGTTGCAATGGAAATATGTATTTATGTAATATTTACCAATTATTAAATTAGTTTTTTCGTTGCATGGCTAATTATTCAACAATTCATTAAAATTCGCAGTTCATTTCCTATCATGTGACAAATTTTTTAGTTTGATTTTATTCAAAAATGGCACAATTTATCGATATTCAATAAGAGTACCTTTTTTTATGTAGAAAATCCTAAATTTTCAAATTCTAAAATTGAATTTCAAAACTAGAATCGCCCCAAATTTTTGGGGCTAAAATAACCTGAGTCCGTCCCTGTTACATACGCTTCCAAACAATACTGTCTAAAATTGTTAATATTTTTAAATCCAGCATAAAAAACTAGGCTAGAATACCAAATTTTATGTCTTTATCTCAACACTTTTCGGAAATACTCAGGAAAAACCATCCTTTAAAAGACCGTAGCGCCCTTAGGGGACGTTTGTCGACCTATGTTTATATAAACTTGTCTTCCTATTTTAAGCTCTAGATACCGCTGGTAGAACATTGCACACTTTTTTCGGGACACCCTGTATATGCATCATAGAGGTTGAGGTACTTAGTCCAGGACATCCTGTATAGTTTGTTACTCACCAAATGCCGACAGATGGAAAAGCTGGACCCCAGTCCCAAGCATATGAAGCTTGCATCTTTCTGATCATGTTAGCATGACATTCACCGTGATACGCATCAGGGGGACAAAGTGGAGGAACAACGTACGATTTGTTCTGTTTTTCGGCTAAATCGTAACTTACTTGTATGGGTGATTTAAAATGGACTCTTATTTTGTTATTCCCAACCTTAAAAACATTTGAATGTGGGTACTGTACATAACTGATAGATAGGATTTATCTGATTTTATCAATTGAGGAGTTTGGAAGTAAAAAGGTTCAAGTGCAGTTTTTTAATTAAATGGTCGTGCAGAATATCATACCTAAAGCATATCGTAACTTGGTGGTAAAATGATTTAAATGCAGGCAACGTTCCCTGGCGCCATCTCTCATAGTCTTTGAGAACATATGTGGTAAAATGATTCAAGTGCACTTGAACCATTTTACTTCTAAGGCTTTGGCAACTATTTTTAATGTTTTACGTGTGACGTGATTTCAACGTTTTACTTATTCTTAGTTAAAAATACGCATTTTGCAGTATGGGTAGTGTTATAATAATAAACAAAATGAGTACTGATTGGGAAAGCAAGGTATCTCTCAGGAGAATTAAGTATCAATAAGATGTACAAATTATATCAGGAGTTTTATATTGACAAACAATAATTACCAGTTAAAGAGTCCTATTATAGGCATATTTTCAATACGGAATTCAATTTAAGATTCCACAAGCCCTATAGTGATACCTGCAGTCGTTGTGACAATTTACAAAATTTGATAAAATATTCTACAAATGAAGACGTGATTAAAAATGCCAAGCAAGACCTCGAGCTGCACCAAAGAAAGGCCCAGAAAGCAACAGATGCCAAAAAAGCTGATATTGCTGAAAATAAAAATGATTCTAAAAATACGGCGGCAATTTGTTTTGATTTGCAACAGGCATTGCCGACGCCATTGTTAACCACCTCTAAAGTATTTTATGTTCGTCAATTATGAACGTATAATTTCTGTCTCTTTGACTTACTGATTGGAAAAAGTTATATGTATGTATGGAACGAAACTATTGCATCCAGAGGCTCACAGGAGATAGGATCATGTTTAATAAAATTTGTGCAAAGCCTTCCATCTACAGTTACGAAGATTATTGCATACAGTGATTCGTGTGGAGGACAAAATAAGAATAAAAACATTGCTAAACTATTTAGTTTTATTGTTCAAGCTACACATATATCTGAGATTCATCACAAGTTCCTTGAACCCGGGCACACTTACATGGAATGTGACCGTAGTTTTGGCTTAATCGAGAAGAAAAAAAAAAGGCAGATTCCTCAAGTTTTTGTCCCCGCAGATTGCGAGACTGTAATAAGAGGCACATCGGCCAAATTCATTGTGTACAATATGAACAAAGACGATTTTTACTCTTTTTCGCCGTTCAATGAAATTATGAACGATCCAAAAAAAAAATAGTGACGGTTACCCCTTAAAATGGAAAGAAATTTGCTGGTTTGATTACTATAAAAGTGAAAGACTAACATTTCGATACAAGAGTACCCTAAACATTGCTGTAGAGTTTAGGAGTTGCTTAATGGCAACCTCAAAAGTTGGGCGCCCGTGTTTTAACTTTTCAATACTAAAGCCTTTGAATGGCACTTCAACAAAGATTAAAGTCGCCAAGTACAAAAACTTGCTTAGCTTATTGGAATACATTTCGCCCATTCACCATACATTTTATAAAAACATGAAGCACGATGGGAAAGCATTAACAAAGAAATGAAAAAAGAAACAAACACAGACCCTGACATCAAGCCAAAAAGTTCCTGATATAGATGAACCCCAACCAAGATCAGCTGATTCAGATGAGGAAAATGATGAAGACATCCAAATTCTGATTATGAATAAGAAATTTTGTTATAGATTATTTTTAAATAATGTTTGGTTTAGTACGGTAGTTGTACTTGAATCATGTTACCACCATAATTTTTGTAACATGTATAATGATTCAAGTACATTTTTGCCAAAATGACAATAAAAAAGCAAATTTAAGAAAACGTTTTTTGTTTGTAATGTTTTATTGGCATTTAAATAAACTTAATATAGTATCATACTTTGATAAATTTATTCCTGGAATTTTCAAATTCAAGTAAACTTTGAAGCCATTTATCTCAGAACTACTAAAAATGTACTTAAACCCTTTTACTTCCAGGCCCCTCAATTGATGTATATTTAATTTCTATGTATTCGGTACCAAAAAGTTACATTAACATTAAATCGAACAATTGTAAGGTCATGAGATATGTTCATGCCAAATGAATGTAGGGTATTCATATGTTTCGGTATTCACCAGTGATGCGTTCATCTACTGTCTTGTTTCAATTTGCCTTCTCTCAATAATTTTTATATATTTTTAAACGGCTGCTGATGAATGATAGAATGTTGTAAGCGTTAGTATTTTATTTCTATTATAATATTTATGAAAGTACTGAGCAAAACCAAAAAGAGCACCACTGAACATAAACAAAGTGACGTTAAATGAGAAACATTGATGCAGATATCTGGAGTGCAAAGTAAATCATCTTTGAGCGAGGACGCCCATGCCAGAACACACATTTGTTTTGCATCGATGATTTATACTAAGTGACATATAAATCCGAACACCCAGTTTAAATGGTTTTATTTTAATAAAAGTTGGTGAATGTATTTATCTTACTGTAAATAACAAGTGAAAAAATGTTCAGCCTTATCAGTTGGACATTCCGGTTTTTATACTGCTTTTTTTTAATTCACTAACGCTCTAAAAATGAATATTTCAGCCGCAGTAAAGAATCAACGTTGGCGGATTTTGGTTCTTGACATCCTTTACGATCGGTTACGATGCCTAGAGTACGGAGACCTGTACGATTTCGTCAACTTCGTGAGTTTGATAGGGCCGTATAGTGGGACTTCAGGAAGCTGGACCTTCTTTTCGGGCAATTGCAGTTAGAGTGCAAAGAAGTGTAGACACTGTGGTTAGGTGTTTTCAGGCATGGCTTCGAGAAGGCCGTACGCAAAGAGCAAGGGGCACTGGACGCCGCCGTAGAACAACAGACCGTGAAGATCGCCGCCTAAGATTATTGGCCTTAAGGGACCGTTTCTCCACTACCAGGTCCATTGCAAATGAATGGCTTGCAGAACACGCAAGACCTATTGGCATGCGAAGTGTTTTCAGACGAATGAGAAGTTTTGGCTTGTTTTCATACCGGCCACACTGGGTCCTCCCTTTAACTCGAGAACACCGACGTAATCGCCTTGAGTGGTGCAGACAATGGTCACTCTGGGATCTGGAATGGAACAGTATTGTCTTTAGTGACGAGTCTCGATTTTGTTTAGGCATGCACGATAGTCGTGCCAGGGTTGGAAGGCGACATGGTGAAAGGAGGAATTCACAGTTTTTTGTTGAAAGACATGTTCATCACACTGTTGGAGTTATGGTTTGGGGTGCTATAGCTTATGATTCCAGATCACCTTTAATCTTCATCAGAGGTAACATGAACGCGCAGCGTTATATCTACGAAGTTCTAGAACCCTATCTTTTACCCTATCTTGACACCCTGGCAGATCCAACTTTCCAACAAGATAATGCCCGACCACATGTTGCAAGAGTCACAATAGACTTCTTTCAACATAATGATGTCACATTGTTACCATGGCCACCGAGATCTCCCGACTTATCCCCAATTGAGCACGTGTGGGATATGATGGGTAAGAGATTGCTCAATTTGCAACGTCCTCCTCAGTCTCTAGAAGCACTTCGAGAGGAGTTGGTGCTTGCCTGGAATGAGATATCACAGGAGGACATTGACCACCTGATCAGAAGCATGCCTACTCGCGTTGGAGAATGCGTAGCACATCAGGGTGCATCCACACATTATTAAAGGTCAAAGGGCTTTAAAGCAGTGCAATCATTTTGAAATTTTTATCATTTACTTATTATGCTTCATTAAGTACTTATACAAAATTTTATTAAAATAAAACCATTTAAACTGGGTGTTCGGATTTATATGTCACTTAGTATACCTCGATGGTGCAAGGTTTAAACGTGAAAATTAGCAAACTAAAGTTCAAATTGTTTATCTACTAGAGTGTCCAGATTGAAAGGATCCTATAACTGGAATTTTGCGCATGAACTAGTAAAGCTAAATATTGCTGATACAGAAAAGTGTACAAACTGCTAAGTGCTGTTGCCCAGTTCGCAAATGAGGATAGGACTATGGAATATTTTCGATGAACACAATCAAACGCAGTATTTTCTGTCACTTGAAAAAAATACCATTTTACATGAATGAATTATACAGCTACTTACCTTCAAGTGCTTTTTGATATCAAAAACGTATTGCACAAACATATTCCTACTCGCCCCAACTCGTTGATCGTTGACAAAAATGTCAGCAAAAGTATCTAATCCATCGAATACTAGGTTAACGTTCTCGTGGTTAACCAAGTCTTTCGGTACTGTAAAAATAATATTTAGAAAATATGATTCATGAGAATCAAATAAAAAATGTATCAGTACATGAAAATGTATAATAAATATTTTTTTCTTCACTGTCGTATTGTGAAGTCAGCTTGTTGAGTTTCTCAACTCCGTTGCGGTTAGAATGATTTTTAAGAAGGTGAGAATACCTGCGTTTGGTTACAATTTATAAGAATTCCTGAAATTTTCATATCTTAACCTGAGCCTAGATGCCTTGTAAGCAAAACCTAAGGTATAAATATGTTGTTCAATATCATTGTTCAATACCCAGTTAGACTGCGCAATCGTCAGTTCATTGTAACTTTGTAACGGACTGTAGTTACAGTTTTCGAATAAAGTTTTTGAAAAGTTATTTCTAAATCCGTTGATTTAAGATTGATATTCAAGTATACTCACCAGTAAAGCTTGTCTCATATATCCATTCTGTACGAGATACCCATTTAGTTGTTTCATCCGAGTAGCCATAAAAATATCACCCAAGATTTTATTTTCCATCAAATTAGTGTAAATTCCACCAGGCACTTCGGCATCCAAATTTTTTATGGCTACAAAAATCACATATCATTTTCATATGAGAAGTCACAAAAACGAACGCAAACGATCCAAAAACTTTTTTCAGTTATTTTAAAACAGATATTTTGACCGCAGTCACTAACTTTTTTAAACATCTATGGCATTTTTACCTGACTGTCTTTCAAAATGAAATATGGCAGGTTGTGAAAATTGAGCGTCTTTGTACATTGAGTCGCTTATAATTCGACAACCAATCATGAAAGCGCTATAGTATGTTTTACCAATCTTCTTTAGTTACAAGGGTATATGTAATAAGATATGGAACATCTAACTATCAAATCTTTATAAGCAGACTGTCTCATATTTTATTGCACATTGTTAAAATAATCATCCTAGTTTTATTTAGAACGAATTTATTTTTACTTACTCATATTTGCACTGTGTAATTTCCATTTTCCATTCAAATTTTGAAACTGCAGAGCTTCTAAAACACCTATGAAACAAAAAATCGCAAGAACTATACGATGACTCATTTTGATTTCGTCACAATCAATATCACTATACTATAGATAAAGATCGATGAAACAACATCATGAAAATTTCAGACGGGTAGGCGAGAAACAATATATACTCAAGAGTCAATAAGTTGTGTCGAATTATCTAAATTAATTTGCATATTATCTATATTGAGATACACGACACATGCGCTGCTCATCTGCCTTATAACTGGCCTTACTTTTGACAACATTAGTTCTAAGAATGACTTAATAAAATATTCCCGTATCCTCAATATTGCACCACTTTTGAATCAGTACTCTCAAAAAATCAAATCAACGAGATAGATACATCCCATCTTTAAAAAAATGTAGGCCCGTAGCAGCGCAAAGTGCTACTTTGCCAGTTGAGCAGCTCGTTTAAAGTTACGTGTTTTTGTGTGCGACGAAAACTAGTATACTAAGTGACATGTAAATCCGAACACCCAGTTTAAATGGTTTTATTTTAATAAAATTTTGTATAAGTACTTAATGAAGCATAATAAGTAAATGATAAACATTTCAAAATGATTGCACTGCTTTAAAGCCCTTTGACCTTTAATAATGTGTGGATGCACCCTGATGTGCTACGCATTCTCCAACGCGCCTAGGCATGCTTCTGATCAGGTGGTCAATGTCCTCCTGTGGTATCTCATTCCAGGCAACCACCAACTCCTCTCGAAGTGCTTCTAGAGTCTGAGGAGGACGTTGCAAATTGACCAATCTCCTACCCATCATATCCCACACGTGCTCAATTGGGGATAAGTCGGGAGATCTTGGTGGCCATGGTAACAATGTGACATCATTAAGTTGAAAGAAGTCTATTGTGACTCTTGCAACATGTGGTCGGGCATTATCTTGTTCATTCATTTGCAATGGACCTGGTAGTGGAGAAACGGTCCCTTAAGGCCAATAATCTTAGGCGGCGATCTTCACGATCTGTTGTTCTACGGCGGCGTCCAGTGCCCCTTGCTCTTTGCGTACGGCCTTCTCGAATCCATGCCTGACAACACCTAACCACAGTGTCTACACTTCTTTGCACTCTAACTGCAATTGCCCGAAAAGAAAGTCCAGCTTCCCGAAGTCCCAATATACGGCCCCTATCAAACTCACTAAGTTGACGAAATCGTACAGGTCTCCGTACTCTAGGCGTCGTAACCGATCGTAAAGGATGTCAAGAACCAAAATCCGCCAACGTTGATTCTTTAGTGAAGCTGAAATATTCATTTTTAGAGCGTTAGTGAATTAAAAAAAAGCAGTATAAAAACCGGAATGCCCAACTGATAAGGCTGAACATTTTTTCACTTGTTATTTACAGTAAGCTAAATACATTCACCAACTTTTATTAAAATAAAACCATTTAAACTGGGTGTTCGGATTTATATGTTACTTAGTATATTTTGGACCGTAACCGAAAGCGACTTTCGGTCCTTAGCTTTACTATGTATTCAAATCCCATTTACGCCCCGTCAAAAACAAACACGAGTACTCGTTCGCCGCTTCTATTCGCTTACCTCTTTCACGCCCAGGCATTTATGGAAACTTCATATGGACAAATATGGCCTTATAGAAGCAATTATTTGGGAAATCCAAAATTCAGACAGCTTGATGCCCCATCTGGCGGCTTTAAAGTGAAACAAACCGGATTGCTTTCTAATTGCACCTCGCCGTCTCATGGGCATTTACCACCGCACCATCGTAGGAGGACAGAAACCGCGATGGTACCATGATAGGTGCACACGAGATGGCGTGGTGCAACTAGAAAGCGATTGGAGATACATTAGCAATCCGGTTTGTTTCAATTTAACGCCGCCAGTTGGGGTATCAATCAGCTTGAAAGGACTGTACAGTAGCGTATCTACAAGAAAATATTAAGTTTATAGAAATCAATATTTCCTTAATTTTAATAAAAGAAAGACTACAAAAATCATAATTTATTTCTCCTTCGTTTCTAAACATAAATTGTTGATAAAAAGATTATTTGACACTCCACTGCATACAGGGTTTGTCTGGAAAGTAATAGGACTCATTTTCTTCCGCCATGTACTTGGGAGCGTGCGCGCAGCGACTGGATTCGGTAGAGGGCGTTCCTAGCTAACGAATGAGCGGCTGGTCAGTTGTCTCCGAGCACTTGGAGAGTAAGAACAGCCATTTTCGCGCGACGTGTTTCTGTGAGTGGTGCAAGCCGAAAATGCAGCGTTCGTTAGAGCAGAGGTACGCGATTAAATTCTGTGTGAAATTTACCAAAATCTGTGGTTCATGACATTGTGACACAGCATTTGAACATGTGCAAGGTGTGCGCGAAAATGGTCCCAAAAGTGCTCACTGACGACCAGAAATCGCGGCGAGCGGAAGTGTGCCAAGAAAGTTTGAACATGTGTGAAAGTGACCCCCAATTTTTGAATAACGTAATTACAGGTGACGAGTCGTGGATCTTTGAGTATGATCCCGAGACAAAGAGACAATCTTCCGAGTAGCACACGACGGCGTCTCCTCGCCCAAAAAAGGGAAGAATGAGCAAATCCAAAGTGAAAACGATGCTCATTGTCTTTTTTGACATCAAAGGCATCGTCCACCATGAATTTGTTCCTCCTGAACAAACCGTCAACGCCAAGTTTTACGTGGAAGTGCTCAGGAGACTCAAACGAAGGGTCAGTCGGGTCCGGCAAGACATCGCAGCCGACTGGAAGTTGCACCACGACAACGCCCCGGCTCACACCGCCTTTCTTTGGAACAGCTACCTGACCACGGCCGGCATCCCAACGCTTCCGCAGCCGCGCTACAGCCCAGATGTGGCCCCCCGGACTTTTTTTTTGGTTCCTCACCTGAAAAGGCCGATGACAGGCAAGCATTTTGAGACGACAGAGGGGATCCAAGCAGCATGCACCGCGGCTCTCAAGGCTATTCCGGAGAATGCCTTCCGTGACGCCTTCAATGCTTGGAAATCGCGCTGACAGCGCTGCATCGACGCAGAAGGTGCCTATTTTGAAAGTTTTTAAAGAATGGTAACGATTGGCTCAATGAATTTTTTTAAATCGAATCAGTCCTATTACTTTCCGGACAAACTGTATATTCACACGAGTATAGAAAACATTACAGAAAAGATGTAGTTTTTGCTAATGGAAGGCATTGCGTTCTGATTGACTCAAAGTTAGAGCAATGAAACCTCATTTTGATTTACTATAACAATATAAATAGTATCAACCAACACAAAACCAAAACCACCACCTACCAAGGCCAATGATGCAGATTAAAGTTGTCTGCCAAAAATCTGTCAAAAGAGAGTTAAGGCTGGTTAAAACTGAAAAGTCAAGACACGTTTCAAGTTTAGCCAAAAAGCCATTGCATTTATTTTGCAGCTGAGTGTACTTAATAATGCTATACAAAAGACATTTGCACACGAAAATATAAAAAAGGAAACAATGAAAGCCTGTAAGTAGCGCCAAATGTCAGCCCGACAGCTTTCACAGGCGCCCGAAAAGTTACGAACGTAAATTCGGTTGTACTTGCAGCGGATGTTCTGCTAAAACGGAAACAGAACGGAAATTGGTTCGGTCGGATACCACATTTAAAAGTAGTTGCAGATCTTTTCTACCGTAATAATATAACTTTTTCTGTTATTCTGTAGTTGTAAATTTGCTAGTAAACCCTGAAAACACCAAACATGAAAATATTTCTTACTATTGCTCTACTTCAACCATACGGTTTTACAGAATCTGGCAAAATCTACTACAACCATATGCATACAGCGCAAAAAACCGTAATGCAGTTCCTAAGATTAATCGTTGTTTGATTTGGTCTGTCCACAAAGAAGCGGCAAACTTGAAGTAATTTTTTTGACATAAGCAATTCGTGATCTTGATTAAAACTCACCTTTAGTTTTTTCAAACATTTATTATGTAGATCATTGGGATAACAGATCACAAAATATACATAAGAACTCTTCAAAAATATTTTCACTTACCTAATATTACACTTCTATATAAATTGTATCAACCAATGTAGGATAATTGTATATGTCTTCGACAAAATCATAGAATTGACAATAGGAATCATTCTTTCGTTGACTTACAGACACAATAATCAAAAACTTGCAATATGCCTTTCAGCTTCAAATATTTAGAAATAAGTTATGTTTTTACATTTGTACTATGTTGCGCGTATTGGTTGATACATTTTCAATAAATCTTACATTCTACCAGTGCTTAGGTGAACTGAAGCTCATAGTGAAATAGATGCGTTATGGCACCAACAACTTAAATAAAATTGAGCAAAATGTGTCGAAAAATATTTTTATATTCGTATATAATACACTTCAGTGGACGTACAATGCTAACAAGTTTAAATATCTACAATCATAACAAATGTATACAGTATGAACAATCGCAAGTAAATCTGTGAAATATTTCACATACTGATACGCGACAAGAAAATTGTAGTTTATATCAAGGGCAAGAATACCTACACATATAAAAACACTGGATAAGCCATTATCTGGCAACAATGACAATAACAGTGATTATGAGGCAATATTGACTAAAACTAACTCCAATTCAGGTCAGAAAAATTACACTACATGCTCCTGTAATGCATCATTCGAGACTAAACATTTGTATAGCACATAAGAAAGCTTTTGGAACAACTGCAAACAACAAGAGCCAAAAAGCTTGACATACAGGCTATTAAGACTGGATACAAAAATCAAACAATCATCTTGATAGCCTTTTGAAAAATCAGTCTCAAATTTTTACGCTTTAACAATTATTCGTTTAAAATTTGGTTAATTCCTCTGGATGAACTTAATTGGATTATAATGGGTGATTCGTTAAGAACTACTTTTTTCAACGCATCAAAAATAAAAACAATCAGCTGTATCGGGTTATCTTTATTCTAAGAAAATAGCGAATACCGCGATTGTTCCACAACCTCGACACCCTAGGGACAAAAGTCATCATTATCATGGCGCGATAACGGTCGTCAAATACAACTCGAAACTTGTAGTTCCATAATGGGCGACATTTGAAACAAATCTTCAAAGTCGGGTGGTGAGCATCAATCAAGAGGATTGAAAATTAAGTTAGTCTGTTGCCGAAAATATATAAAATTCGTAGTAAAATTGGTTTCATATATGAATGTAGTATAACGGAGTAAGCTCAGTATTATAAATATTATCCCATTATTAGCATAACGAACTCCAGAGGTCCCAATTTGGTATATTTTTAGCAACATAGCAATTTAGTCTGGAATTCCCTAAAGGACAAGAATGCTTATTTTCTGCAATCATAAAGATAATCTGATACAGTTGTTTGTTTTTGTACATTTCTCTTTTGACAAAATTACCTCTAAATGAATTACACCTTGTTAATAATAACAAAGTACCTATTCACTGGTTTAAGTGTATTTACAAGTATAACAATTTTGCGAGTTTTTTATTACGTTTTGTAATGAAGCATGGGCAATCTGACAGCACCACATAAAAATATTTACGAAATGTCAAAAAGTATAGCCGGGCTATAAAAATATTGCCCATTTGCAAGGGCCATATTATTTTGGAAATTGGGCTCGCAGAAATAATCCATTTTTCGATCAATCTTTATGAAATTTCTCATAAGTAATCACAAATTAATCCAAATAGAATTGTTTTCATTTTCATAAAATATCTCTGCAAATATATCAACCATGTCGAACTTTTAAGATGAAATTAGAAATCAACGGGTCAATAGCGGAAATGTGGTTTCACTACCTTGGTGAAACACTATATAATATTCTGCTCTCCACAAGACAAAGCAATTATTGTAAAGAGAGCAGCAATTTTGCGGATGGAGAAACATTTACATTAAACCACTGATTAACGTATCCTTCCTAAAAATAGTCAACCTAAGCATATACATATGTGACTACAGTACCAGAGGCACTAACCTTTTCAAAGTATATATAATAAACAAAAAAAAAACAGATGTGACAAATTCCCATAGATGAGGCTACGGTATTTCATTTCATCTACGATAATGTTTTGAACGCGCAAATACATATATCATTTGGTTGGCTATTTTCAGGTAGAATACGATAACCGATGATTAAACTTAGTCCCAGCTCAGCTGGTTTAATGTCAGAAATTGAATCCTAATATTCATACTTATGTGTACGAAAATTATTGGCGTTTTTTAACCTGTCGTTTTGGTTTATTGAGCAGTATCTGATGCGCAATCTGCTGTATCTCTAATTGTTTAAAAGATCCTTTACTTCTTCTATCAATTTACAAAATGGAGGTCTCAGATGTGATTCGGCTTGCCAGCAGGGGCGAATAATGCGCACATATATAGCGTTCGAACATTTTGGAGGACAGGGAAACCTGAAAATAATTCCTTGATTTTATATCCCGAAACCGTTGTAGTCTTGTTGAAACAATACAAATAGGTTTGCTAAAATGTCTACGAATAATTTAATTAGAAGTTTAAGCTTACCGTGCACCCTTTTCAAGAGCTTGTAATAAAATTTGCTGCTGGGGAGCTTCCATTTCTTCTTCGGGAATCATCAGATTCGGTTCCTCTCCGTAATTGAACATCTCACATAAAGTGACACCATAGGACCATACGTCCGACCTTACAGAAAATTTACCGTCTCTCAAACTTTCTGGGGCATACCTAACAAAGAGAATATTTTGGGGTTAGAATAATTACAATTCAAATTTAGGAGTCGTTAGCTCACCATTTAATTGGCAGTTCTCTATTAGGTGTCTTCAAAATATAGTAGTCATTAGTTCCCATGACTTGTGCTAAACCAAAATCAGATATCTTCACTTGATTTTCATCTACAACTAGGATATTTCTGGCTGCAAGATCTCTATGGACTATACTTTTCTTACCAAGATAATCCATTCCCTGTAACATTTCAGATTCGTACAACTTGCAAGTCAAAGCAAACGCTGTGATAGACCAAAATAAAAGAAACAAAAAAAAAACAGTTCCCGTGACTGACATATGTAGGGCAAAAAAAATTTAGCTAAGAACTTGTAGAACAAAAAATTAAATGATCTTCTTCCTCGCCCTGAGAGAAATTCCTGCGTGTCCACATGATCGTTGCTATGACTAATCCCGCGAGGATGACTTTTACAGCATACAGTCCACAGCAGCACGGAAGCGACTGCCGACTGCGACGCACGACCATCAGCCGGACGACGATATTTCTAACTTTAAAGGTAAATGTACGGGGACATCAATGATGAGTGAAATATGTCTAATATGTGCGTAGAATTACTGGAGTTGGAGACGTATTAATATACCAACGTCAAAAAATTGAGATATACCCTCCCCACCCCCTGCAACCTCTGAAACACTTTTTCCGAAAATGATCAGGATCCTCTGAAACGTCAAAAAACTAAGTTTGAGCGATTTTGTTTTTCGTTTTAGGTATTTTTCTCCGGCGCCACTGATCCGATTTTCTAAAACTATAAAGCTTTTCCATCCTTGGTATAGAAGTAACGTTGTTTGAAAATTTCATCCAAATCCGAGAGCGATACTTTCCAAGTTATAGGCGGGCCAATGACAAGAGGACAGACGGACTGACCGACAGTCAGCTGAATGTATCTAATTTGTGTTTGGACTGGCAGAAGCTCGTAGTTTATAAAAATGTAATAACCTAACCGCACTGTAGCCATTTAACATGATGAAAAACTTATGTCACGTCCGATGATTGCCTAATTATTCACCTCTGCAATATCTAACGCATATTTCAGTAATTGAGGTTCCTCTAATCTTTCCTTGTTTATCTTGAGATAGCTCTGAAGAGATCCATGAGGTACGAATTCCATGACTAGGGATATTTCTGGTTCTCGTAGGACGCCTAATATTGATACTATATTGGGATGTTCCAGTGCCTAAAAGGTTAAAAAATGAAACATAATAAAATCGAATGTATGACTTTATATAATAGGTATTTGATCTGCGTATACTATTTTGATAGCATACCTTCATGATGTTGATTTCTCTTTCAAAATCTTGCAAACAGGACGATTTTGCGGTAGTCTTTAATTTTTTACTGCTACCTTTCTTGGTTCCTTATCTTCTCCGTCAATATATTCTAAGGTGCCTTTATAAACTTCGCCGTAAAAACCCTAAAAAATTAGAATCAAGGAATAGTATTCACGATTAGTTTTAATTCCTCTCATTTAAGTGTAGTACATCAACTTACCTGTCCAATTCTGCCCTGTAGCACCACGTTACAGTTACCATCCAGTTCGAATATACTCAGCATCGAATTGAGACTATCTAGAGACGTGGTGGCTGTGGAAATGTTGAGATTTGGAAAGATGTTGCTCATGTCGCATATGTCAGAGTCTTCTACATCGGCAAGTTCCTGAGAACCAAGCAGCCAGTTCTGAGAATGGCCACCAGAAAGGCTGACCGAGCATTCTGACGGTGCTCTGCTTGAGGTGCCGCTAGTGCATGGGAACTCCTCGGTGCATGGTACTGTTGTCGTTTCTACAAATACGGAACTGTCATCATATGCTCAGAATAACATTGAGTTATTTCCAACTAGGAATCAGAGACTGTGTAGATCTAGTCATCCAAACTAGTTAATGACATGATGTGGCCTAGCTACAAACTAAACTCCATTGTGAAATGACCGTTTGGAACTGTCAGAAATTCATTGTTGAAGAACCATCAATCCATCTCGTAATTCAAATTCGGTTTATGTTTAAGGCTCGTTCACACAGAGATACGTTAAGCTAAGGTTTCTTACCGCCAAATTTCATTTCTAAGCTAGGTTGTTACTAGAGATCGACAAATATAGGAATTTCGTCATTAGTGATATATCAGAGGTAGATATATTCGGCGTAACTGGTGACTACTCACGTATACTTGACAGGTATACTTATACAAGCTTTTGGTGTATGTGATCGTTAGTACAAAGGGAGTTGGAGATTAACATTTTGAAGCACAAAGGATGATGACCACATACCCGCTTTTGCTGCTTTATGATCTTCAAAACAAAAAAATAAAAACGGCGCAAAAGTGTGCCGAGACCATAAGCAAGTACTACATATGGATTTGCGCAAGCCTGACGTGAAAAAGTGACAGCATAGAAATTCAAACATGTCAACAAGTACATTTTTCCATACGCACCATGTATGCAAGTCACAGCGTTTACTTGATATGTCTCGATTCCATGAAGTTCGATACTATACAAAAATGTTGGAAATAAGGATACGTACTGACTGTAAATATTTTGAAAAGTTATCGTTCAAAGGACCGACGAAATTGATAGTGCAATTTGTGGCATATGCAAAAAACATATGTATTTCTTCTAAGAGAATAGCAAACAAATCAATTATGGAGTATTACCTTTCTAAATATAACAGATAAAAAAATTTATTCCATAGAACTAAAATATATTTTTGTTCTTTTTAATTCAATAATGTTAAGCGGCATTAACTTTATAACTTATATCAGTCCGCCTAATTCGGCATAAGGGCAGATACATATCGGCCGAACCTTAGCTTTTAGGTACAATTTTAACAGACATTTCAACCAAAAATACCTGACAATAACCAAGCGTATTTTCCTTAGTAGGCCATATTATCATTATCAAGCAGTCCTATTGAAGCTAAATAGTTCTTCCGGAAGTTAATTTTTAGTTCCTGTAAATACGCTTGACTCCCAGGATATTTCGAAAATATTTACATATTATAATGAAGATTTACAACAGATATTTTCAGTATATCATAAAACATCTTACCTGTATTATATGAAGAAATACTAGTTGATGAAGCCGTGACTGCTGTTCTGCTAAAGACTTTGTGATAAGAGTGTGTTCTCCTAGAGTTGTACACTGGAAATAAAATGAAATAATAATTATGAAAGAAACGATCTGATAGATTTTGAATATACCTTGATATAATATCTGGCTGACATCTCGCATAATAGCCTGCGGTTTTTTTCTCTTATGAGGATCAATGTCCCAACACTCTTTCATCAAGGCATAGATTTCATTGGAACAGGTTAAGGGCTGAGGTAGCCGTTTACCACTGAGATAGAACTGCAAAGAGAAAAATATGCACAATCGTTAATTAGCGCCCAGAATGAAGACAACGTGGTTCTACAAATTTTATGCGACTTTGATATTTAGAAAGATAGACTTAATGCGGAAAAGCTAAAAAATGTTGTGCTTAAACTTACTCGCATTGCTTGACCATGATCAGTAGGTTTAATTTCCTCTCCATACATAAATATTTCCCATAGTGTAGTTCCGAATGCCCAAACATCGGCTTCTATAGAATGTTTTGCATAATCGAGTTTTGAGTAGCATTCTACTGGTATCCAGTGAACCCTAAATAAAATAAAAAATTATTGATCAATCACGTGTTTTTATTGCTAGTAATTAGATCAGCAGCAGATCAAAATGAAAACATTCTGCTCGTGAAGCCCATTAACCAAAATACACACTTTAACGACATGCAGTGGAGTAACTACTAAGATTAAGTGTGAAGGAAAAATGTACTTACTCGGAAGACACGTATTCAGTATGTATACCAGGGTCGGCCAATTTGACCGTAAAAGAGTTTTCGTCATGTAAGCTGACCAGCAGCTTTCTGCATCTTATTCTACCGTGAACAATATTGTTTTCAGTCTGAAAGGCACAATTACAATGATAAAACTTTCAATAAAATGTAATATAATATATCCTTACCAAGTGCCACAAAGCTGACGCCAAGCTACTTGCAGCTTCAATGAGATCAACAGTTTTCACAATGCCTTTCTTTTCCCTCAAATACTGATCCAAGGGACCTAATGTAATATATTCTGAGACTAGAGAGATTCCACTGGTGAAAGCGATACCATAAAGACGAACTATCGAACTGGATTGCAGAAAGACCCATTGGCCAGCTAATGATAGGAAATCCTGTAAAATAATCGTTGATTAGTCAAATCAAGAAAATAGGGATACATTCTTTAGCACACCTTTAAGTATTTTTCAGAACATTCCTGTTTCAACATTTTCACGGCAACGTCTATTTTCTTGCCTTTTGTAATGATCCATTTGCTTCTAAAAACTACAGTCAGGCCTCTAACACCTTCTTTTTTGTTAACTAAAAACAGAAAATGATTGATGAAATACGAGTTTACGCTGTGATCAACTTATTCCTTTGTTAATCATTCTTTGTTTGGACTAAATATAATTCCATAAACTTGACATTTTCAGTGAATTCTTCAAGTAACGAAACATTTTTTTGAATCGATAAATAATATACCGTGTAGTTTGTGCTTCAAAAGATAGATTCTAGGTACACTCTGCAAAAACATAAAGTTTGCCAGTTTTGACCTAATAGACAAGGTTAAAAATCGCTTAAAAATAAACTGATTTCAAAATACCAATCGAGGTCTTGTAAATCAAGATTTAAACTTTAGATGCTTCAAAAATTATAATTTTTATCCGAGTTTTCAAGCATTGAATATACCCATTTTTGGGGATTTTCAGATATTAAATCGCTTACAATTCGAAAATGGTCAGCTCTAGAGAAAATTTAATAGAAGCCCTTTTTATTCGGAATGACAAAAAAAAAATGAACAATAAATCATCCGGGCAAAAATGTAATTTACTTAAAAAAATGTTAAAACAAAATTGATCTGGGTTACCGGTGGCGGCTTTATTCAATGCTTGAAAATTCTGTTAACAATTACAATTTTTGATATCGCCAAGTAACTAATTTAAGGTTAAAACCTTGCTACATAAGACCTTGAAGGGTGCTTTGAGATTAGTTTATGTTAAAGCCACTTCAACAATGTTTTCCAGACCAAAATTCGCAAACTTTTGATTTTTGCGAATGTTCACTTCACTACCTCTAATTTTTAGACAATATTGTCTTTCTGATTCATATTACAATCAAAATTTACTAAGTGACATATAAATCCGAACACCCAGTTTAAATGGCTTTATTTTAATAAAAGTTGGTGAATGTATTTATCTTACTGTAAATAACAAGTGAAAAAATATTCAGCCTTATCAGTTGGACATTCCGGTTTTTATACTGATTTTTTTTAATTCACTAACGCTCTAAAAATGAATATTTCAGCCGCAGTAAAGAATCAACGTTGGCGGATTTTGGTTCTTGACATCCTTTACGATCGGTTACGATGCCTAGAGTACGGAGACCTGTACGATTTCGTCAACTTAGTGAGTTTGATAGGGGCCGTATAGTGGGACTTCGGAAAGCTGGACTTTCTTTTCGGGCAACTGCAGTTAGAGTGCAAAGAAGAGTAGACACTGTGGTTAGGTGTTGTCAGGCATGGCTTCGAGAAGGCCGTACGCAAAGAGCAAGGGGCACTGGACGCCGCCGTAGAACAACAGATCGTGAAGATCGCCGCCTAAGATTATTGGCCTTAAGGGACCGTTTCTCCACTACCAGGTCCATTGCAAATGAATGGTTTGCAGAACACGGAAGACCTATTGGCATGCGAAGTGTTTACCGACGAATGAGAAGTTTTGGCTTGTTCTCATACCGGCCACACTGGGTCCTCCCTTTAACTCGAGAACATCGACGTAATCGCCTTGAGTGGTGCAGACAACTGTCACTCTGGGATCAGGAATGGAACAGTATTGTCTTTAGTGACGAGTCTCGATTCTGTTTAGGCATGCACGATGGTCGTGCCAGGGTTAGAAGGCGACGTGGTGAAAGGAGGAATCCGCAGTTTTTTGTTGAAAGACATGTTCATCACACTGTTGGAGTTATGGTTTGGGGTGCTATAGCTTATGGTTCCAGGTCACCTTTAATCTTCATCAGATGTAACATGAACGCGCAGCGTTATATCCACGAAGTTCTAGAACCTCATCTTTTACAGTATCTTGACACCCTGGCAGATCCAACTTTCCAACAAGATAATGCCCGACCACATGTTGCAAGAGTCACAATAGACTTCTTTCAACATAATGATGTCACATTGTTACTATGCCACCAAGATTTTCCGACTTATCCCCAATTGAGCACGTGTGGGATATGATGGGTAGGAGATTGCTCAATTTGCAACGTCCTCCTCAGACTCTAGAAGCACTTCGAGAGGAGTTGGTGGTTGCCTGGAATGAGATACCACAGGAGGACATTGACCACCTGATCAGAAGCATGCCTAGGCGCGTTGGAGAATGCGTAGCACATCAGGGTGCATCCACACATTATTAAAGGTCAACGGGCCTTAAAGCAGTGCAATCATTTTGAAATTTTTATCATTTACTTATTATGCTTCATTAAGTACTTATACAAAATTTTATTAAAATAAAACCATTTAAACTGGGTGTTCGGATTTATATGTCACTTAGTATAGCTACGCCAGAAATTAGATTAGAGAAAATTTCCTACAATGTTTGTTCTCAACACTTTCTTGGTTGATAAACATTTTCGACGTAAGGGAGCGGCGAACAATAATATGAATATATGGGATATCGTCCATTGGCATAAATAGTTTGGAAAACGTTGAAAATCGCAACCATTACACGTCGCTTCCCTTCGCATCGCTGCAGTGTGCGTGCTGTCATTTGATTGTGCGACGTTACTACTCTTGCAGTAGTGAGCCATTTCAGTAACGATGGAGTAGTGGCCGATAAAATATCGCGTATTTGCTTATGACGCACTTATCCGAAAGCTTTTCCATCTCGCAACACAATCTTATGATGGGTGAAGAATCTAAGAACAAGGTAATCTAATGAAAAAAGCAACCTGGTCCAAAAAGAACCGTAAGAATTCATGAAAAAAACGTAGAGCTTCTTCTAATGAGTGACGCACTTCATTTTCACTTAGATGGAACAGTTAATACGCAGAATTGGGCTCCTGAAAATCCATGAGCGACCTTTACATTCTGAGAAAGTCACAGTATTGTGAGTCATTGGTCCAACAGACTGTAATGTTCAATTTTTTTTTTAGTTAAGACCGGCCGTACCGACACTGATAATTCTGATCGCTACGTTCAAATTTTTGGTGCCAGAACTAAGCAGAAAAAGGATAAACCACAGGAATGTGTGATTTCAGCAAGATGGTGCCACGACACATACTGTGAATTTGTGATTTTTTCTGTGGGGGTATTTAGGGAGTCGTGTATACACACAAGCCTCGTAGTTTGACAGCGTTGAAGAAAGCAATTCGCCAGGAAATCCTGACTATGGATCGAGCGATGTTAGAGCGTGTTATGGAGATTTTCAAAACTGCATCCAACTTCATAGTCATTAATATGACATTATTTTCCATACTTAATACACATATAAATGGCATACTGTAAGCTTCATTTTAATCTTAATAAAATCTTATTATCTCGCAAATTTCTTCTGTAATATTTATTTCAAAATCGTCCGTTGTCACCCTGTACCAGAATTCTAATTCAAATAGAGTAATGAGGTCGATTGAAATAAAACACTACGAATGACGCACGTATTTCTCCAACCTTCTATTCCTAACACCCCTCTTGCTATATCTACGTAGAGTACAAAACTTAAAGTAAACCACCAAAAATCCAGCCACTAACGCTACCGCTAACACTACTATCATTATAAGTCCTATCAAAACATTCGTCTCAGTCTTCATCCAACCGAAAATCGGTGCAGTCAGCTTATCCTCCATGAGATTCGTGAACAAATTTGGAGCCCTCTTGACGTTAATTCTCACATAATTCGTCACCCATTTGAGTTTCAGGTCTTTTTGTTCGACCACACATTTCCACTCGCCAGTAAGTGATTCGTTCAGTGAAGCAAAATGGTGGGCGTTTACAGCTGCTAAAGTTGTGGTGCCATGGTCTATGAATACTTCGTCGTTTTGGACAAGTTTTAGACTCAAATCCATGTAGATATAGCCTAGAAAATATTATTCGGAACATATTCTCATGCACACATTCTGAAATTAATCGTAATAATTCCAACTTTTCTGATCGTCCTCTATACAGGGTGTCCTAGAAATAGTTATCAGAAAAGTATAAAAAAATCTGTGTCCTGTACTTTTCAAATCAGAGGCTTTGAAAGAATCGGAAAAATCTACACGCTGTAATGATCTTTTAGTTCCCGTTACTACAAATTTCAATTTTTTTAGATGGAGTGACATCACAGGGTGTATATTTCTCCGATTTTTTTTTTGTTAAGCGTATAGTTTGAAAAGTACACGACTTGATTTTTTTCATATCTTTCTGATAATTATTAGGATTATCCCCGTTTCCGGCTTGACGTCGACTTCTGCCGCACCCTGTATGATGCTTAAAAACTATAAAGCTTTTTTCGTTTCTCGTTTGGTAAACAAAAATTTCATAGGCACATACCGGTTTTTGGATGTGATAAATATAACCAAATTGATGATAATTCAGAATTGACTACTAATCATGGGCTCATAAAGTCACTTAAATTAATCCATGTTAACTAAATCTAAGGACGTTAGCATTTCCGTATGACATCAAGTTGGGGTCAATTAAGTTAGGCTCAGATAGGTCACTTTATAAATGCACCATAAACTTAAAACAAACCTAATATCACAGAGTTACAATTCAAAGTAAGCTCCCTAGTTGCTCTGGTATCATAATCATAATGATTCGATTTGACAGCTACTGCGACAACTCTCAGTACGAGCTTTTTCTTGTTCACTCTGTACAACATGCAAACGTATAGACCTGAAAGTTCTCTTTTCGCGTACTTTATGAGAATATCATCACTCCGAAATTCAATCTTAGAATCTGGCTTTATGAACACGCCATTTAATGTCCATTCATAGTGTGCTTCAGGAGATTCTTTATGAACTTTTTTAAGAAGACGTTTGTTATTTTGAATAAGTCTGGTGGCACCTGGAAGAAAATACGCTTAAATAGACATCAAATAAATTAGGAATGCATCGCATGTAAGTCTTATTCAAAGTTTGACTCATTGAAGTTTTTATTCTACATGTCGAAGTCTTAAATATAGCTTTTTTAAGTAGCCGTAATTTTGTGATATAGAAGTTAATGCAATATATACCTTCATCTAATATAAAACTGAATTTTTCTTTCTGCAATGATTCTCTTATCTCCTCCATGGTATCAGGGTTAAGATCTCCACATGGAAAGTCGTTACACCTTCCTGTAGTCGTAGCTG